AGAAGCAGAGAAAAAGTGGAGGACACATTTCAACAATTTCTTTTTTACTTCTTCTTATTTTCTTTTTATTACATCTGCTCACCTTTTGAGAGATACCCCAGGAGTTTTGCTTTTGTTGCACTAGATAGAATGGTCGGTTTAGGATTGGGAGCTTTTCTTTAGGGAAGAGCCTGATGAATGAAACGAGCAAAACGGACGATGCTGCTGGCCAGTCGAAGTCAAATGCATGCTTTACTTTACAATAGATAGAATCAATACCACGGTCACCCATCATGAACCACTGCTGTCTACTTTAACTTGCGCGTGGGTCAACAATCACTGGAGTCTGTCTTGATCGTTGAAGACGGAGCTTTCCGTGAAACGTCAAATGAGAAGGATCATCGGCTACTGTGTGTTTGTTTCGAGGGCAAGTTGGCGCGATGTGACGCCAATTTAAAACCAAAGGCAGGCTGGTTTGTGAGCCCGTTGCAACAACGCAATGTTGCTTTGCAGATGGAAAAGTGGTACCACGGCGGGTTTAATGAAGAGTTTAGAGCCTATGAAAGGCTGGCGCAATGATGCCCGGCGGTTCCTGAATAGGAAGACCTTGTTATTCTGGCAGAATACCAAGATATGTGGCGCATTAAGATCAGGGATCGATAGGTGTTCAACCATCACACCAGGGAGTACTGCAACCTTGAGGAGAAATATTTAATGTTTGCCGTTATTAGACTGGGTGACGAGATCTGGGTAGTTCCAGGGCTGACAAGGACATGACAAGTCGGCAAGCGGGAGACGAAGATCCCTTGTTGATCCAACGGTCGAGGCGAACAAGGAACGAGTAAATTTCCTGAAAAGGAACTTATTCACGTAGCGAGTTTCCGGAAACCGCTATTGTTATACGCATGCAATTATATCGTGTTATTACTGACGAGACTTAGGCGAAACAACGTTCGGTATAGCGATGAATATCATCTTAGCATTTCATTATATGCTTAAGCGAGAAGCACGTAGAGTTACGGATAACCCATCACCCATCGGTTACATGTTGTTTCTGCTGACGTGACAGGACCCGGATCTCGACTTGGCTGAATCTGATGCAGGTACCGATGAGCTTCAAAACAGACGAACCAGGATCGTCACACGTCAAGTTTAGTCATGTCAAGTCTTTGTCACAGAAATCTACCACGTTGGTGGATTATCATGTTAATTACGGAGGATTTTGTAAAGGATCCGACATGAACGCGTGGACCACGAGAGATTTTCTTACATACTACACATACAAGGAAAACCCGTAACGAGATTTAATCTGAGGGGCCAGAAGCTGCTGGTTGGGCTTCCAGTCAGTGTCTTGTACCCGAGGAAAGAAAGCGACGAGGCTAGAATGACAGCGCATCGTGAGGAAGCAAGCAAGACCTTGAACCGAGAACCTTAACAAGCATTATCCGGCACATCCTTGGTATTAAAAGAGGACTCTTATCAAAAGGATATCGTTGCCGAAAGGGCGTCTGAGTTGTCAAGATCTTGAGGGGGGTGTGAAGGTTCCTTGTAGTAGAAACAAATACTTGCCTTAATCTCCCAGAATTCATGCGTCGCGGAGGCCAGGCCGGATGGGGCCGGCCGGGGAGCAGGGTCCGGAGAGGAAGAAACGTTGAGCGGGGCCGGGAAGGATGATGATGGTTGAATAACTGGATATAGAGAGTATAACTTAGTCATTAAGTTGGTGGTATGTTATACCTTGATGCTGGCATTTCTGTGCACGTTTGCTCGGATGTATGTGACTGTTTCGGCCTTCGGTAGATACTCGCGGCAGTCACCTTTTCTGCGATGGCCTCACTTGTAAAGAGAATCAATTAAACAAGCAACAGGTTGTTGCTATGCAGCGTGCTTATCTGTGAAGCTTATACAAGCTAACGAATAATCTTCAGCAAACAAAGAATGTAAATCAATCAACAAAGAATAACGCCCGCTGCAGAATACCTCAGAGTTAAAGATAGGAATGTCACGACTCAAACAGTTGGAATGAGAGAATGCAAGCACTTAAAACCCTGGTCGAGAAAGGCCTATTTCCATCTCGTCAATTACGGGCGACCAATCATGAATCAGTATGGTGCTTCACTTTACCATCTGGCTGGATTTGAGACGATAGCATGTGAAAGAGGTCTGCGGATGGGTCTGATCATGAAAGCATGTAAGAGATATACTCTGGAGTCTATATGGTTGAGGTTATCCTTGTGGGTAATATTGGCGAATATAGTGTCTCTATTAAAAGAAGCTGAAGAGTTTGTGAAACCACCGAAACTATTATTGTTTCAAAGAAGAGTACCCGATCGTGGTCAAAGCAACGTCTATTATTATACACCTGTCCCGTTGAACCCTGTCTAGGAGGAACTTCTGACGATAACTTCATTGGTGAGTCGTTGAAGCGAATTGCAGCTCATGAAATTACTTAAAATTCAATGTTTCCGATCATTATTATTGACTGCAAATGAGAGCCATGTTGTCTCTTGCCCCGAATGTCAGCCACAATCAACTTTGCTTTTTGCTGTACCTGAGATACTCTATAGGTTAACCAACGACCAACTAACAAATCAGAATTCATCAAGAGATACCATTTCTTTGGTTCAGCCATTGGAGGAATCTCTTCCGAGCTGAGAACTTAAACTGTTCAAAAAAGCAAACACAAACAGCCAACTTCACTATGATTTACTCTAAAACCACCGGCTCCCCGACTAGCAAGATAGAGCCTGAGAACCACACAGACCAAACGTCTCGATGACGAGTGCAAAACCCACCACATTTTGACTCTTGGTTTCTCTATTGTTGACTTGAACTAATGTTTATGTGACGTGATGCATCGCTTGTTTCTCGAGCAACGTCTGAATCCAAGTGTTCAGGTCTCAAGACAACAGGGCTGAATTTCCTTTGTTGTATGGGCTGGAATGAGACTAGACAAGACAATAGGCGATCATGACAAACTGGTGAGCTGATTGTGGTTTCGGAGGCTTGTTGGTTGGTTGTAAGCAGTCGGTGAGCGATGCAGCTGCAGGGGATAGTTTAGCTTTCTGGCTATTGTTGCCTTCAAAGGGAAACTTGTCCTTATCATGATCAATATCAGTCTATAATAACATCAGATGCTTCCACGAAGTTTCCTTTTGGAACACTCTGATACAGATTGAATATCTCAGTTCAGGAGGTTGTATTCTATAGTTAAATATATTTATGACGGGAGTCATAGCGGGCAACCATCATGACATGGATTAAAGACAACCGAGCCGATCATAACTCAACAATGACCAATCACTCCAGTCATAGCTTTTCTTTGAGAAAAGTAACTCAGGTTTAAGTGAAGTTAGGTAAATCAACGGCTATCATAAAGAGGCGTCAAATAGTTAGCTGTATTGTTATCCTCCCAGCTCATGAGAGGCAGCCGTTGGGTTTCGGGCGGTGCCTCATCCAGGTTAGATCTGTTCCAGCGGTTGGCTAATCGAAGTTAGCAGAGTGTAGCGCACTGAAGCCCCTGAAGACGTCTTTTCCCGGTGGTTGCCCAACAACGGCTAAGTTGAGAGGAAGTTGCTGATGTACCACCAAGCTTGCGATTTGAGCTATGATATTGATTTGAGATGTGAATAACTTTTGTTGACTTTTACTGTCCTTTGAACAATTACTGTGTCTGTCTTTCTCCTCAACTTCTTTGCACCGTCTGTTACGTCTAGCCGAGGATATCATTCCTGCAAACAGCTCAGCTCAGCTCAATCAGTGCAGTGCAGTGCAGGTGTTGTAAATAGGAAGGTCGGGCACGGCGCATACTGTATTGTATCCACTGCATTCGTCCATTCTTATCCTTATCCAACCCGAACCTGTCCATTCTCATCAAGAATTTACCGACCGACTCGAAGCGAAGCGAACAGACCTCTTCTGCCTAAAGGATCCTCGACTGTCGGCACCCGCAAGATCACAGCATCACCATTCACGAGACGAGGCGATACAGGACGGAAAGAAAGACAAAAGAACTCGAGAAGGAAGACAAAACCACAAACAAGAATAATAACACATACCGGATGTCAAGGTACACATATTTTCTTAGTACTCTGTTTGCTTTCGCTATATCAACTTTGGCCTCGGTATTCGTATCGCATCGTATCCCCAGCAGCTGGACCATCAAATCATCCCACTATAAACAACCATCCATCTCCATTGACGACGAGACAAGCCTCAAGCCAGGTCTCATACTCAGCACTTCAACACTTCATTTATCTATTTATCTTGAGCATTCGGGCGTCATTTGGCGGGGTTTCTAACTTCTCCCTGCTTTTGCTCATTTTCTCCCTTTTCTTTGACCTGCCTGTAGCCTGGTCTCGCCTCGCCTGCCGTTCTTTCCCTGCCTGCCCCTCCTCTTTTTTTAATCGGGGCTTACTTGCTTTGGTCCATCCCGTATTCCATCCCGACTCCCGACGACTTCATTCCTCCCTTTACACCATATTCCATCTTTTTTTATCATCAGAGGCTGACCGACATGCTTGGCCTGGCAAAACAGTCTTAGACTTTAATTCTTTTATTCCGTTTTTCATGATCCTTTACGACTTCCCGTAATGACCTACGAGCACCGACCGACCTGCGACATCACATCTAAATAGACTTTCCATCTTTGCATCAAAGCAACAACCTCTGTTCTCACAGCCTGCCCACGCACGAGCTCGACATTCACGAACCCGATACTATCCGATCATCTGCAATCTGTCGACCTCATCTGATTGTTCCGAATATTTATCCAGTGCTATTTCTCAACATTTTGCATGGTTTTAAGCCCTTGCTAGTGCTTTGCAAAAGCCAAACGTGACCTGACTGGCCGTGCACGTTATCAATCTCGAATTCGATACTTTGCTCGGCTTGTATCAAAATCGGCCTTTATGACAATCCTTTAGAGTTGCTATGAGTGGGGATCAACTGGGTACAAGGCAAGCTCGCACTCACAACACTCTCCTTTGCTCTCCTTCAGCATCAGCATCCGCATCGCCACCATGTATCCCCTGCAAGATTCACTAACCTCCTCGCCGAGCAGTTTTGCCAATACGAACCACCGCCCTCCGACATCTGAAGAAACGCCTACTTCTACCGTCTTTCCCAGCCCTGTATTTGACACTCCCAAGCCCGGGCAAGGTGCATTTACCGACGCCGGGGGTTGGACGCCACACTACGCTGAAGACTACTCTGTATTCAACTCGACCCCTGGAAATCTCCGTGGACCTCAACAACATCCTTACGTTGATTACGGTACCGCTACGATTGCCAGCGGTCACAAGAGACTATTATCTGCCGAGAGCTTTGCTGCTGGAATTGCGACTCATGTAAATCACTTCTCTACCAACAACCGCCTACCACTGCCGCCGGTCGAGCCCTCACGCCGCTTGGCCTCATCCCCGAACTTAGTAAACGTACCTCAAGAATATATAACCGATCCAACACAGCTGCCCAGTCCTGATCCGTCCGTTCAGTTCCAAATCCCTAAGAAGGCTAGGAAAGCCGGAGTCAAGGGTGCAAGGCCTGCGCAAACGGCAACGCCCCCACCCACTGGACGAAGAGAAGAGCACAAGCTCGCTGACAAGCTCAACATGCAAAATGAACAGGTCTTCGGCCAGCCCGACTTTAACGGCACACCCCAGCAACAACAGCATGATCTTGCTGCCTTTATGGCTACTTCTGGTGACATGTTTGGATATCCTATGACAGCTCCCGCTGCAACACCTACCGCATTTTGGGATCCTTCGATGAGTATGGACTTTGACTTTAGTGCGTCACCTTCCAATGTCTTCCAAACAACACCTGTTCAGCATGGAGGTGGTCATGGTCACCGTCATACAGGATCGTTTGACTGGAATAGCGAAGTACCGCTCTTCCAGGATCCTACTGCACCATTTGCTCCAACAGGCGCAGATCCTATGCAATCGATCCACCGTGACCGTGCCCTTGCCCCAAAGCCTATGGGCTCAGCGTCTGCTACGACTGCAGCAAGCGCTGCCATGTCTGCGGCTCTCTCTGCTCCTTTAGATGATTCTTTTGGATTTGGGCAGCCAATGCAAGGAGTAAATCCTGGGCTGCTCTTTGAACCCCCTCACACATCTGTTATGGATAACCCTGCTCTCATCCCAGTGACACAGGCCGGCTCGGCTGAAGGCGCGATCTTCCAAACGAGATCTAGAACCCCTCTGGGGGATAACATCCGACAGTCTACCAGCATGAAGGACTTGAGAGTCACCAAGGTACCTGATCGTGCTCTTGCACCATCACCTGTCAAGTCAAACTCACGGCCCGGAATGGGTCGAAGTTTCAGCGAGAATCGTGGAAAGAGAGTTCAGACGCAGAACCGACCAGTGCTTCCCAAGCTTGCCCCAGCTCGACCTGTCTCCCAAGCTAGCAATGGTTCCAATAGTGACAGTGCGCCTGTCGGACGACCCATTGCCAAACCAACTGGAAGGCTGTCTCCTATGAAGAGTCAGAATCGTCTGTCAGGTCTAGCTTCCATACCTGAGGGGCCACCGCTGCAACTCCCACTGACTCGAACGTCTGTAAAATTCACCATCGACTCAAGGGGAAGAGCTCGCGCTGAGACGACTATCATACCGAATGAATGGGACTGGGAACCAGGTATGGGCCAGAGAAAGGTGTCTCGGGATAGGAGCCGGACACGCGAGCTGGGACCTTCAGATGATGACGAGTCTTCCTCTGACGATGAACCTATCATCATTCCTAGCCGGACCAATTCATTCAATACATCCTTTGCCTTGCCGGATCCTGTGAGACCTGTGGGGTCCATCTTCCACTCTTCGAGGCGTAGCTTCAGCGATAGAAGCACCGGTAGTATCCACGACATAATGGGTGGGTCGCCGCACGACGGAGAGAGCGAGTCTGAGACTGTCATGTATGAGCGTAAGGACAAGATTGGAGACGCTACAAGCGAGCTCCGTAAAGTGATGGAAGACCGTAAGAAACGGTCCCATCCAATGGGACAGGGCGGGCAACATCGCCCTTTCCAAGGTAGCAGCCTTGGCCCTTTCCGAGGCGACAGCAACTCGCCGTCGTCCCTCACTGAGTCAAGCCTTATTGCAGACAGACAAGTCAAGTGTGTCTGTGGCCGAAAGGGGGCTGACGGGGGAGACGGCTTCATGATCCAGTGGTAAGTGATTCCAATCTCTGATGCCTGGAGCAACAGTTGGCCGTAGGCCGACATATAACAAATGACCTTGAACTGACATTGATATAGCGAGTCCTGTGAAATGTGGCTCCACGGAAAGTGCGTTAATGTCAACCTCAGAACTCAGCCGAGAGTGTACATCTGCGCATTTTGTGCCAACACGCCAAACATGCGAGGAGGCCGACTGCGAGACACTGGGAGAGGAAACCTGGCTGGGGGCGGCGTACCAGTGGCATCACCGTTGAAGACCAAATCATTTAGGGCGTTTCGATAGGACTAGGTTGACAAGCATTTCTGAGGGAGTAGACGGGATGGATGGAGTTCTGGATGACACTGCTTTGATCAGGTACATATACAAATATTGTCGCTTTAGACAAATATCATGCATGCATTGTACCGAATGATTCCGCAGTGCTGAGATTAATGAAGTAAAAGACATGTCATGATAACACCTGATACTTTGATTCTCGTAGAAAATACTGGGAACCTCCGGTACCTGAAGATAGAATGGGGGGACTTAAAGAGATACTACCCAAAATGATCTTTGTCTCGTCTCTCGTTGGCCAATGCCGTGGTTGCCCACTCCTAGCTCTGCCGTAGGGCCCGAGCGGGCCAGTGAATGAAGAGCCGGCTTGCGGAGCTCCAAGACCTCCGATCTCGGAATGGCGGGGAAAGAATGGTGATGATGCGGGGCAGCAACGGAGAGTTAAGAAAACAAGTTCCAACCATCGACTCACTTCTTTTTTTATTTTATTTCTTACTATACTGATAAAACCAATCAATTAACATATAACAGAAATGGCTGAGCACAACATCGTCGTCCTGGGTGGTGACCACTGCGGTCCTGAGGTGTGTAGCCCTGGAGGAATTGTTTGTCTGAGCATGAGCTAACTTGAGGACAGGTTGTGGCCGAGGCTATCCGAGTAAGAGACGTTGTGAAGAAGAACGAAGAATTGAACTGACTGTTTCACTAGGTCCTCAAGACTCTCGAGGAGAACAAGCCCAGTGTTGGCAAGTTCAACTTCAAGGACCATCTTATGGGTGGTGTAAGTCTCGAGTACCCGTTTCCCACACTCTCCAGCTTACCTTTTCTTCCAGTGCTCAATTGACGCCCACGGTTCCCCTCTGACCGACGAGACCCTCGCTGCCGCCAAGGGAGCCGACGCCGTCCTCCTCGGTGCCATCGGCGGCCCCAAATGGGGTACCGGCGCTGTCCGCCCTGAGCAAGGTCTTCTGAAGCTCCGTAAGGAGATGGGCACATACGGCAACCTGCGACCTTGCTTCTTCGCCTCCGACTCCCTCGTCGACGCCTCTCCCCTCAAGGCCGAGATCTGCCGCGGCACCGACATTGTCATTGTGCGAGAACTCACTGGTGGAATCTACTTTGGCGAGCGCAAGGAGGATGACGGCTCCGGTTCAGCTTGGGACACTGAGCCTTACTCCCGAGAGGAGATTGAGCGTATTGCTCGTCTGGCTGGATTCCTCGCACGAGGTCGTGGTGACAAGAAGGTGTGGTCGCTCGACAAGGCTAATGTGCTGGCTACCAGCCGTCTGTGGCGAAAGGTCATGAACGAGACTTTTGAGAAGGAGTTCCCTGACCTCAAGGTCGAGCACCAGCTTATCGACAGTGCTGCTATGATCCTTATCAAGAACCCTACCGGTCTTAACGGTGTTGTTGTGACGAGCAACCTGTTTGGAGACATCATCAGTGATGAGGCCAGTGTCATCCCCGGAAGCATTGGTCTTTTGCCCAGTGCCAGTCTGAGCGGTATTCCTGATGGTCAGGGCAAGTGCAACGGTATCTACGAGCCCATCCACGGTAAGTGATCTACAAACTCTTTTGTTTTTGATAGTAAGCTAATTCATACTCTCAGGTTCCGCTCCTGATATCTCCGGCAAGGGTATCGTCAACCCCGTCGGCACAATCCTGTCTGTGGCCATGATGCTCCGATACTCCCTCAACCTCCCCGAGGAGGCCAAGGCTGTCGAGGCTGCTGTTCGCAATGCTCTGGACGGCGGTCTGCGCACCAAGGATATGGGAGGAAACGCTGGAACAACAGAGGTTGGAGATGCTATTGTTGAGGAGCTCAAGAAGATCCTCAAGGCTTAGATGGGATGTGTTGTTGATCTACGGTTGGGCGGTTATGATTCCAAAAAAGCGATCTGTTTTGTGGTTGAAGATGCTTAAAAGTGCGTCTGTCGTTATATGGCTACAAGAAATAGTAAAATGACAAATCTTGTGATTACAACTTAGGCAAGGTTTATAGCTAGCGGTCTTGGAAAGAGATGTGAGGTTAATAGTGTTGGGCAAGGTTGATAATCATGATGTCTTTCATGTTATGGGGTAACAACGGCCACATGAAGATACACGAAACACGGGCCAGAAGTGAAAATTACAATTACAACGATAAAAACCTACACTTATAGCTGTGATTTCCGAGGTGTTTGTCAATCCCACAACATCTGAAGATTGCCAATGAGTCGCCAGGCATAACATACAGGTGGTGAGCTGTCAATCTCGATGAACAAAAAAGATTAGTGGCCCTGGCAACATTTCCCTGTAAGTACAGCAGTATAACATGCACTTTTAATGGGTTCTTTTGAGAAAAAGAACGTAAGTTGTACATCAGGCCATGTAGGGTAATGCCCAAGCAATGGGACCAAAGTCCCACTCTTCAACCGGGCGAATCTGTACATGACAACATCCTGGTAGTGTAAGCATATTACAGACAGAGTATGATTCGGAACAATGCGAGAATCGCAAGTTTTCTCACACCGCATAATGGGAGGCCTAGCAGATGTGCATGCTGTGGGTTGGAAAAAGCAGGGCATTTGCAGCAAACGATCCATTGCCGTGTCTTTCACTACCCTGGAGGATTCACATTAATATTGGTCGCTTACAAGGTTGCCTGTAGCCATGTGGTAATGCAGCAGGACTTTTCCACGTGCGGTAAACTATGCCTAATTCTTAAAGGTCTACTGCATTATAATCATCACACCCAAATGCCAACACAGGGCAAGGTCTCTTACAATGCTTTCTACAAAGTCTTGGGGCCTAAGGATTCTAGCTTGAGTGGAAATGCATCTACTTCTCGGAACGGTAACAGCCGAGTCAGGTAGAGAAAAGAGAAACAAACAAACAAGAGTCTTGGTCTTACGAGAGACATGCATGGCGGTAAGAGAAGGGGGCTGCAGGCAAAGGGTCTGTTTCTCTCTGACAACAAACGGCAAAGGGCGAAGGCGAGGGAAAAAGTAAAAGTCATGACGTTGTGATGAAAATAAGCTTGATCAGAAGCCTCATGTTGTTACTGTAACTCTATTAAGAGCCAATATCAAATCGATTTGTTTCGTTTCAATTGAATAGGTCAAGAACAGAAATTGAGGAGGTTGAACAAGGGTTGAAGATGGGGACCGGGGATTGGTGGAGCTTATTCTTGTGCAAAGGTAAGCTCAGAGGCTTGCATGAGGAGAAGAGGAGTCATGATATGGCTGGGTCTTTTTGTCTTGGGGCGGTAACTCTATTGTTTGAGTGTCTTTCCCTATACTATAGCTTCAAATTGTCTCTGATCTTCTCCCTGGTGATCGGCATCGAACATCAACAACGCAACACGGCACAGCAACAACTCATACTGAGCTGTCCCTCCCTTCGTCTGTGCTCTCCCTCTGCTGTAAGGTACACACAATACAGCTTGTGCCTGATTTGCTACGTTAGTCTGCAGCGAGGGAGGGGAAAAGGAAGAATGGCATAAGACACGAGCCAATAATTTGTGTCAAGACCGCAGCAACACTGCCTTAGCTCTATCTACTACTGTACGGTACTGCACACCCACTTCTCTAGCAGCCAAGTTATGTCATGTCACAAATGTCAAGAGAAAGTAAAGAGTCAAACTTGATAATGCTATTCTTAGCCCTCTTTAGTTATGCTTGGCTTGAGTGATTTAACGTGGCTCGGATGTAACGGAATCACAATTGTTCTTCTTCCTTTTTCTGTCCCGTCTTCGATCTGTTTGGGAATTGATAGACTAGATTATCTGGCTAAGCTCTATGTGAGAGTACAATACAAGATGTGGCTGAAATGGCAGAATGGCACTACAGAAATGACCACACCACTTGAAAAGGATACGAACAACGCCAATCTAGGTACCATTTAGGATAGCTTGGACTTTGAATTGAATAGTTGCTGCATATACAACCTGTCATGTTTGCTGTACTTTCGTATTCTGAATCAATTTTCGTTGATACACGTTAGTATTCAAGCTTAAACAGAATTACGGAACATGATGGGATTACTTGTTAGTTCTAGTCATATCTCGTCTGATGTCATGGCGTATTTATGCTCGTGGCAACTATTCCTATATAGGATCTTTTTGCTTTAACCAGCCTTTCTTTGTATGTATTTCTGACAAACACTCCTCTCGTACGACTCTAGTCAGCGTCAGAGAAAAAAGACAAAGAAAACAAGCAGATGCAGATATAATCACATAACAGAGGATAGGCAATTTAGATTGATCCATTGAGTTCTGGTGGCTGGTTCGTCAATGTTGGATCATGGCTGAATTGGCGTTATGCAGCTACGGGTTTGAGGAACTGCAAAATGGATTGTGGCTAATATGGGATTGAGACTGCATCTTTATGAATTTGCAGTAAAGAGTCATTTGTAAGTAAATGAATTGAGCAGAACAATTAATTAATCAATTATTACTTTTATGAAGTTTATTAATTACATAATGAAAGATACTGGTGCTCTTGCTAGATCAAGTCGTGTCGTGTGATGGTACTTCCTTCTTTCCCAACCGTTTCGTTACCCAAAAACTCAATCCCTTGGCCACTGAAGCTTCAGGGAAGCATTCTCTCGTATTCAACGCCCTACTACTACACACCATCGCAGCCCACTGAGACAATTATGTTGCTATCTTAACCGCGCCTTAGTGGGCATTGGCTGTTTCGTCTCTCCTTCAGTGCGCTAACGACACGGGAACGATACGCTAGTCTTGCTGGTTAGGGATGCAGCGATTATCATCCTCCGTTGTTTGACTCGACACTCTCCAGGGTAGAATCACTGTTTTCAACTCCCTGGCCTTGCTATCCCTCTACTTTCTGACTTACCAGTTCAGTGCCGATGAGCTTTCAGTTCTACCCTGGTGCATGTACGCACGTACCGACCAGCCAAAACAGGCTTTCACAACCACAAGACGTGGTGGCTGCAGCTCTGAGTGCATACATATTGTGTTATCAGAAGGTAGATACTTGTTTCTCGTCAGACTTGGATCGGTTCCGACCCGCAGCTCTCTCGTACCGTAGTCGGTTCCAGTCTAATCGACGAATATGCCGTGCTCCCTCGCAAAGACGCCCGCATCCGATGACCTTGCCGACTTCTGGGTTTCGTGAGCCACATGGCCGCGGAGATCGGCCAAAGCGAGAACACCTCCAGTTTGTTCTACAGTACTTCCAAAATGGCAATACGGTATATTTCTTCAAGAAACACCAGCCATGAATTTGTTTTTCAAACTTGAGCTCCGGCCTCCGGAAGCCTCGATCGCCATACACCAGAGCAACTATGCATGGCTTATATCAAGGCGGTTATTGATGGACATCATGCTTAAAGTTTATGCCCGGTGGTGTCCGTCAATTTCCATATCGGTACAGTGGCTAGAGCCCAGCCATATCCCGCCCACCTCTCTACTCGGCCCATTGATCCGGCTGCCAAGTCTAGGCGACCGTGCCATGATGAACAAAACCATGGTTTGCAAACAAGCATACAGTAGCAGAGAATCTTTGACAATAACAAACCCTAGAACACATGGTATTGGCTCTTGCGGGGTACCCCACTGCCCCGAAACTATACCATTACTGGCCTATTGGCGTTGTCCATCACGAACGAATCGTCGATTGGCGATATACGGAGAGACGATCCTCTAGCCATCTCAAGCAAAGCGTCTCTCGTGAGTTAAGCGAAAAGCCTCTGTAAGAGGCTTACTGTATGGCACCTAACCTCGCGTTTATCTCTACGGTTACAATGCTAAACACAACCACCTTATTTTCTCTGTACTGCTACAACACCACGACAAGCAGGTTTCTGCGTCTTTGTTGTGTCATGCCTGGGCTGGGATGGCGTCAAGTCTCTCGATCCACGTAGCGCTACTGGGTTCCTGGACTTTCACGCCGTCAGCTTGACATAGCTCCAAGAGGCCCGAGAGTTTGTTGGCTGCTCGGACACTAAGCACCTGCAATGCTGATGTTGCTGCATCTCAAGCTCCAGCGGGGTGACCGGGCCTGCGTTTTGCGTCAACAGCAAAACCACTCATACCATAATGTGGGTATACTTCAGCCTCGGTCACGGTATACTTTGACTAGGTGCATATTGGCAGAAGAAGTCGACTGAGTCGTCAAAGCTGGCTGATGCTGTCATCAAGCCCAAGTTGAAATGTTTCCGCCTCCTGTGTTTACGGGTTTGTTGTTCATGTCGACCAGCTTGTTGTTCCTGCCGTAGCAGGTTACCGATGGCTGTGTGGTTCTGTTGAGATGCGGGCACAGTTTCCGCTCTTTGCTGCCTTCTGCGCAAAGAGATTGCATGTTTCCTCGTATCCAAAGCCAACTTCTGACTGCTCATGCCGTCTCCCGTCTTACCGGGTTCCCCAGACTGAATGCAGGCTGATCCAGTGATCAACTGATTAAGTGAATGTCCAGTCAAATGGGTCAGCAAGGGCTGGCCTTACACAACCTGAGAACCTAATAGCCTTGCCCTCTTAGAAGGGCAGGATCTTTTGTTGGGTTTGGAGGGAGGCCGATATCTTGGCCCTACTGTTGCGGGTTTCCCTAGCTAGGGCGAGCTCCAAAAACCTTACACAAAGGAGCTCCAATTGTCTTGGCCGGCCGTTGGCTAGCAGACTCTCGCTGACCTCCGTGCATGATGCTGGCATCACGTCCTGGCACAGCGTCGACTGAGGCTCACTTGCTCAGTCGATTGCTAGGTACCTATTCGTCTCGATATGCATCCCTCGTGCATATCGGTTGCTTCAGTGAGCTCCAGCCACATCCTTTGCCATCTGTATGGTTGGACTCACGATGTCCGTATCACATCTTGCCAATGTTCACGCCCCTCCATCTTGGTGATTATCGTCTCCTCAAAGTAAGAACCAGTCTAATGCACAACCTAGGGTGGGGTTGGGAAGCGAAGCCAGTTGGACGATCTTGCTCCAAGGTTTGGAAGTTGTCAAGGCCAACTTTGCCAACCTCCCTCATGTGAGGCTGGATCGGTTCATGAACTTGCAGATATAAGGCTGCAACCCTCTCTCGTTTTCATCTTCATCTCATCATCTCTCTACTCAGCCTCTCTCACCTTCCAATCAGCTCCAATTGGTTTTGTATTCACTCAAGTAGCCAACTCGTTCAGGTTACTTCACACCTTCGCTCAACCACCACTATCGCTTGCTTCCAGCTTGCATTCGTTCAAAACACCTTCGTTGATATCACGAAACCTTTTTTCCCCCGCAAATTTCATCATGAAGTTCAGTGCTACTCTTTTGGTCTTGGCCACCTCGGCCCTGGCTAGCAACGTCCGACGAGGAGACGAGTATGAGAGCCCCGACTACAGCGGCGGAGAGTACGAGGCTCCCGAGGGCGACTACGGATCTGGAGATTACGGATCTGGAGACTACGGCTCTGACGACTATGGCGACAAGCATGACAATGGCTACAAGCACGAGGTGACTCAGGTCGAAGTCACTTACACGACTACAACCGTCTGCCCCGTCACTTATACCCACCACGAGAAGGGATAGTAAGTTTTGAGTCGACTAAGGCATTTTCAGGACGCTAACTTGAGAAAAGCACCTACTACGAGACCAAGCTCACAACCTCTACAGTCACAGTTGTTGAGGCCAAGACTGTTGATGTCACTGTCAAGGAGCCTGATGTTTACAAGCACTACACCGATGTTGAATATGTCACCCGAACATCACTGTGCCCCGTGACCGTCACCAAGACCATTGAGGGAGAGGTCATCACTGAGGTTTACACGACCACCAGCTACATCTACGATGTTGTCAAGACCACCGACTACGAGCACGTCAAGCAACCCGACGTGACAAAGCACGAGACAGATGTCGTCTATAAGACCCGAACTACTGTCTGCCCTGTTACCGTCACCAAGACTATCGCCGGCGAGGTTGTCACTGAGACTTACACCACCACCAGCGTGATTGAGGAGGTTGTCAAGTCCACCGACTACGAGCACGTCAAGCAGCCCGATGTCACCAAGCACGAGACTGATGTTGTATACACTACTCGCACCACCGTCTGCCCTGTCACTCTTACCAAGACTATCGCCGGCGAGGTTGTCACTGAGACTTACACCACCACCAGCGTGATTGAGGAGGTTGTCAAGTCCACCGACTACGAGCACGTCAAGCAGCCCGATGTCACCAAGCACGAGACTGATGTTGTATACACTACTCGCACCACCGTCTGCCCTGTCACTCTTACCAAGACTATCGCCGGCGAGGTTGTCACTGAGACTTACACCACCACCAGCGTGATTGAGGAGGTTGTCAAGTCCACCGACTACGAGCACGTCAAGCAGCCCGATGTCACCAAGCACGAGACTGATGTTGTATACACTACTCGCACCACCGTCTGCCCTGTCACTCTTACCAAGACTATCGCCGGCGAGGTTGTCACTGAGACTTACACCACCACCAGCGTGATTGAGGAGGTTGTCAAGTCCACCGACTACGAGCACGTCAAGCAGCCCGATGTCACCAAGCACGAGACTGATGTTGTATACACTACTCGCACCACCGTCTGCCCTGTCACTCTTACCAAGACTATCGCCGGCGAGGTTGTCACTGAGACTTACACCACCACCAGCGTGATTGAGGAGGTTGTCAAGTCCACCGACTACGAGCATGTTAAGCAGCCAGATGTCACTAAGTATGAGACCGACATTGTCTACAAGACCAAGACTCACGTCTACCCCGTCACTGTCACAAAGACAATTGAGGGCGAGGTTATCACCAATGTCTACACCTCTACTGACTACGAGGTTGTCAAGGTCCACAGCACTGTCTACGACAAGGTTGAGCTTCCTGATGTCACTAAGTATGAGACCGACATTGTCTACAAGACCAAGACTCACGTCTACCCCGTCACTGTCACAAAGACAATTGAGGGCGAGGTTATCACCAATGTCTACACCTCTACTGACTACGAGGTTGTCAAGGTCCACAGCACTGTCTACGACAAGGTTGAGCTTCCTGATGTCACTAAGTATGAGACCGACATTGTCTACAAGACCAAGACTCACGTCTACCCCGTCACTGTCACAAAGACAATTGAGGGCGAGGTTATCACCAATGTCTACACCTCTACTGACTACGAGGTTGTCAAGGTCCACAGCACTGTCTACGACAAGGTTGAGCTTCCTGATGTCACTAAGTATGAGACCGACATTGTCTACAAGACCAAGACTCACGTCTACCCCGTCACTGTCACAAAGACAATTGAGGGCGAGGTTATCACCAATGTCTACACCTCTACTGACTACGAGGTTGTCAAGGTCCACAGCACTGTCTACGACAAGGTTGAGCTTCCTGATGTCACTAAGTATGAGACCGACATTGTCTACAAGACCAAGACTCACGTCTACCCCGTCACTGTCACAAAGACAATTGAGGGCGAGGTTATCACCAATGTCTACACCTCTACCGACTACGAGGTCGTCAAGGTCCACAGCACTGTCTACGACAAGGTTGAGCTTCCTGATGTGACCAAGCACGAGACAGACGTTGTCTACCACACCAAGACATCACTGTGCCCCGTTACCGTCACCAAGACCGTTGAGGGTGAGGTTATTACCAACGTCTACACCTCCACCTCTCTTATTGTCGAAGAGGTTGTCACCACTATCCCTGTCTACGAGACCATCGTCAAGACCATGGGCAAGGGCGTTGTTATCACACAGTACTCCAAGATTGTCCAGACCGTCGGTGGCGGCACTGTCTACCAGACCGTCGCTCCTGAGCCTACCACTGTCGAGATTCCCGAGACTGAGGTCGTCACTCAGCCCGAGGTCACCGTCCCCGCCACTCCCACTGCCCAGCCCGAGCCCATTGTTAACGGCGCTGCTGTCGCCTCCAACAAGGCTCCCGTCTTCGCCTTCATGGCTGGTATCCTTGGCGCCGTCGCTCTCCTCTAAGCAACGCCAACTGTTTAGACACAACGCCAACAACACTGCCGGATGGGCCTTCTTCTGTTATTTTTCTTCTTTACATCCTTCAAATTTGTAAAAAGCAGGTCGTGTCCCTGGGGAAAGGACACTTTATTTAATTCATCGCGGGCATTGGTATCGCATTACACACTCATTTCAGGCATGGCGAAACATGACTATTGGTAGAAATGGGAGGATGGTTCTTGTATGGGTTAGTACTTAATGATGTTGAAGGGTGTTTGGTATTTTATTTCTTGTTCTTAATGTATATACTTATTACATGGTTTGGGTTGCAGGATTGGAAGGATTTGGAAGGATCTACGATGGACTAGTAGGTAGTTAATCTGACGATGCGTTGTTGGTATACCTTTCCTGTTTCAACATGTGATACTTGGCTGTGAATAGCAATGACAACTACCTCTCGACAAAGAGAGGCTGGACAAGGCTGCGCTTAGACTTAGATAGCCTTAGATTCATTAACAAGCTTTGGTAGCTCGTTATAACGAGGTGGCTGGTCGGAGGCGTGAAGGCTTTTGCATCGTCTATTAATGGCTCTCTCTAGTGTCAATAGAAAAATCATGTGAAAGCAATCAGAAGACCCTTTCAAGTTTCCTGGCTTGTTCTCGAACTTTGTTTAGTTTACTTGGCCACCGTTGGATATCTCCCAGAAATGGCTTTGGATCTATCTTTTTGAGTCTGATCGCAAGTTCCTAGAAGCAGATGCCCAGTGCCAGCACTATTATTCATACAAGGTTCGATAGTTTGTTATCCTACTTACCTACTGTTCGTTCTAAGCTTGTGTAAGTCACGCAGGATAACACTGTCAAGTAACAGCCAATGTTCTTTCTACTTTCTTTTGTGCCCAACAGTGTAGCTTAATGACAAACTCCCATGATGTGTCGTACCAAGTTTCGTTGATCATGTAAACTCGGCCAACTTTCCAAGCTTTTTCGAGCAGCCTTTTGTCTTTCCAGTTTGGAACTGTAGAATATCATGTTGTAAGAAGCTCGATTGATAAGATACCCCACCACTACCACCCACTTCCCGACCGGAGTAGCATTAGTCCGCTAAATCCAACCCATGAAGCTTGACTTAGACAAAGCATGGATCGCATCTAAACACCCGCCAACTGAACCATCTTTACCAATACTCACGACAACAAGATGGCGCCCGTTGATCGCGTAGACCACAATGCCCTTGAGCGTAAGTCGTTCCAAGACTAATTATCAGAACCCTCTAACATACCCAAAGAACAGCTCAAGGATATCATTCAGGATCTCTATCAAATAATGGTCCAAGTCTCAACCTATGATTCCGCAGGCCGTTCAAGCAGAGAAGTCCTTATCAACGAAATGTACGCTCACCTTACCAATTCTCCTCTTAGCCCAAAGCAACTAACAAATCCTCAGTAAAACCCTCTCCGAGTCCCTCCGCACCCTTCACGCCTCAGCTTCACCACCAAACAACCTCCCCTCCGTCCCACCAGAACTCCTCGAGTACGTCGAGCACGGCCGTAACCCTGACATTTACACGCGAGAATTCGTCGAGCTCGTACGTCGCGGCAACCAGCTCATGCGCGGTAAACTCAACGCCTTTGGATCCTTCCGCGATATTCTTGCTGAGAACATGACTACTGCTATGCCTGAGCTGCGCGACGATGTGGCTCAGGTCGTGGAGGCAACAGGAGGTGTACCACCTGGTAGGAGGAATGGTGAGCAGTCGCAGTCGCAGCAGAACGGTTCTACTTCTAATAACCATGCATCATCGACGGCTGCTTGAGGGAGGAGGGGGGATGCTGGGGACGATACATGATTGCAATATTTCTTTACGTGATAGTTATTTTTGGGTCGCAGGTTTATGATACCCTAAGCGCGTGTAATGCTGCGCAATTGAATGCATTATCTTTAATATCTACGCAGCGTACAATGGCGCAGTATGTTTTGTGATTTTAAGCTTCACTTTGGACCAAGACACGGCTTCTGTACTGGTAAGACATGTAGGTAATGGAAGCATATAGATGTAATCGGTATCAACATTGGTAATTGGGTATCGATGTGTAACGACGAGATACAACTAGTTATTTGCCATCATTGATATTGATCAAACGATTGAAAGGAATCAGTCTAAAAGAGTTTGTAGTCGTATCCTAGGTCCCTTGGACCTTAGCAATAATATGTAATCCATTATCCTTTCGCATTGTCCTGCTTAATCATGATGTCTATGCCTGAAATAAACGCCGCGACAATGGTGTGGTGTGTAGTATATGCAAAGCCCTTTATAGTGCCATCGGTGCGTTCTACAACGTTGAGGCCTTCTTCCTACCCAAGACCGGGATATGTTTTGTACATATGTATGCGGATCCAGCCAGCGCCAGAACGAGGACCACCACTTGCCATGGAAGCAAGACAGCTGCCGCCATGAAGAAAGTACCATAGCGCCGTATAGTATCGACCAACCGGTCGTGAGTTTCTCGGCTCTGTTTCTGGTCTCGGAATTTGCTTCCTCTGGTGGGTTGCGGGTAGGAACCCTCGTCACCAAAGGGTGCTGCGTACTCGTCGTCATCTTCTTCACCCTCGTCATAGTAATACGAGCCTTCGTCCTCACTCTCACTCTCAACGTCGTCATCGTCATCATCAGCGCCATATGGTCATGAGAAGTTGAAACCACCAGGGTATCCTCCACGCTGTTGTCTGGGATCACCACCAAAGTTAAAGTGGGCACCGCCGCCACCACCAGGGAAGCCTCCAGCAGATCGGAAGCCGCCGCCTCCACCGCCGAAGCCCTGCTGGCCCATCATGCTGAAGAGGATCTCAGGGTCAATGCCTCCCATACCTCCACCCATGCCGCCGCCACCGAACATGTCGTTAGGGTCCATAAGGTCATCACCGTTATCGTAGGCAGCACGCTTCCTAAAAATGAGGTTAGTAACTTACTCCAGTCTAATGCGTTTGGGGGTCTCTTACTGAGGGTCACTCAAGGTCTCGTAAGCCTCCTGCAAGTCCTTGAACTTCTCCTCAGCCTGGGAGTCGCCAGGGTTCTTGTCGGGGTGAAGCTTGACAGCCATCTTGCGGTATGCCTTCTTGATCTCGTTCTCTGTGGCATGCTTCTCGACACCCACAATCTTGTAGTAATCCTTTCGCTGGGCCTTCTTCAACTCAAGTTCCGCCCTGCGAATTTCCTTGGCGATGTTGCGGTCCTCTGGCTCGAGCTCTTGGATCGCCTTCCATTCTTTGACTGCATCGTCCCATCTCTCGGCACCACCCAAAGCATTGGCCTTGGTCTTGCGAGCCTTTGTGTAACCAGGGTCAAGACTGATAGCGCGCTCACAGTCGGCAATAGCATCATCGTACTGCTTGAGCTTAATCTTGCACTGCGCCCGGTTTTGCAGCAGCTTGGAGTTCATGCTCTTGTTGGAAGGGTCAATGTCCAAAGCATTGGTGTACTTCTCAATAGCAGGCTGAAGACGTCCGGCCTTGAAGTCGGCGTTACCCTCCTCCTTCATGCGGTCAAGTCTCTGAACGATCCTCAGCCACTTGACAGCATCACGAAAATCAGGGTCACAGTTAATGGCCATGCGGAAGCATTGGATCGCCTTGTCGTTCTCGCCTTGGCCGTATAGTACACGTCCGCGGAGGACAAGAGCCTCAGGATCCTGGTTGTTGTTTCGGAGGAGGTTCATGGCAATGTTTTGCGCCTCTCCTAAAGAGTTCTCACGTCCCATCAATAGATATGCCTCTCCGCGCATAAGCTGCCACTTACGGGGCTTACTAACACGGTGACCAAGGCCGCGCTCAGCCAGGTCAAGGGCATGGAGCACCATGGACATGCCAGATCCGTTACCCTGCTGAAGAATGTCACGGGCGGACTGGATGTGGTGTAACATTTCCTTGGCTGGGACCATATCCTTGGCGGAAGGTGGGGGATCAATGCGGCTAAAGGTTGTCAGAGCCTCCTCTGGTCGGCCCAGACCAGTATAAATACGGGCTAGTCGCAGAAGGACCTTGGCATTCTGGGGATCAGAGTCGGCAGCCCTGGAGCAATCCTCAAGAGCGTGCTCATATTGGCCATTAGACATATAAGCCGCAGCTCGGTTACCTAGATAAGTAGCGGAGAAAGGGAACAAGTCGACAGCTGCGGTTTGATGTCAGCATTTGGAGATAAATTACACCAGGCGGAAAAGATTATTGAGACATTCTCATGAGGTGGCGACCCATACCTTTACTGTACTGCTCGATGGCTTTATAGTAATTCTTCTCCTTGAAAAAGCGGTTGCCCGCATTCTTGTAAGACTCGGCATCCTCCTCAGGTGTGATCGTTGGGCTTCCAGGGTTGGACTTGTGAGGAGGTGGTGGAGGGGCGCCGTCATCATGACTTGTTCCGTTGGGAATGGGAACGGAAAAGTTGGCCTGTGCATTGGCTTTTGGGTTGGGAGGAGTGGTTGAGCGAGCGCCACTAACAGGTTCGCTATCAACATCCATAGAGTTACCGTTCATGGCTGTGGCAAGAGCGGAGAGTCGCTTGCGTTCTTCGGGTGGGAGGTTAAGAGGATGCGTCTCAGGCTCGTACTTGGATCGACGAGAGGAAGAATGAGAGTGGGAGTGACTGGGATCGGTGGAATGTCTCGACAGTCTAGAAGAACGAGAGGTCTTTGTTGATTCGGCTGTGGATGGGGGCCGAGATGATCTCCTTGAAGACTTTGTAGGCGACTTCTCGCGGGCGGGCGAAGAAGGCTCGGAAGAGTATGGCGGAGGTTGTTCAGACGAGTCGTGCTCGCGGTCGCGCTCCTCGAAAGTGGCGGATTTCCTTGAAGAGGAAGGGGGAGGAGTGGAGGAGGAGGGAGAGGAAGTTGGCTTCTTGCCGGTACCAAAGAAGTTCTTCATTTGAAATTGGGCCAAAGAAAGTTCCGTTCCGATGCCAGAATAACTTTAGTAGTCGAGACCTACGAAAGAATCCCCAAGAATCCCCGTAACGAGCTTATGCTGGATACTTTACTGCCCGAGTCGATGCCCTAAACGGGCGTTAAGAAAAAAACCGATTTTTTTTTCGGGGCCGTGTCCCTCTCGAGTGGCTCCTCTGGGGGACAGAAACAGGTCGTGCGGCTCTGAGCCTAAAAGGGGGAGTAAGTACAAGTACAAGTACTTGTACTAGAAAGAAAGCCGTGGAAGATAGCGGATGGGTACTGATTGAGAGGCAGAAAGGCCGGTACTAAGACAAAGGTAGAATCGAAGTATTACAAAGATTCAAGTGATGAAAAAATTATCAAAAGTCCAGAAGTGATTCAAGAGTAAAACGAGGATTAAGAAAGCAAAGTCGGGGGGCAGGGAAGGAAGTGGTGAGATGATGAAGGAGAAAATGACGACCCTTGTTGAGTCAACAACTACACTCACTGACTGACGTTAATGAGACGAACCGGGCTATGGCCATGATTATGACTATGACAGTGACGAGTGACAAGCCCAGAGGGACGACAAAGCTCAGCCCAGCCGATTTATCAGCCAGCCAGCTCAGGCCAAGCCAGGCCAGGCCCAGGCACATACATGGCTTTTCTTTGAATCCATTTTCTCCCAACTAGACATGGGAAAAGAGGCAGACTAAAAAACTAGGCGCGAAAACAATGGTCAAACTGACTGATTATTTCCTATACTAGTAATCCGTCTCTCTAACTTCCGACTCCTATCAGCCTGTCGGATCACTGCAAAATACATCCTTTGAAAGCGAGAAGGCTGGGTTCTGCAGGTATCCCTAGTTACTGGGTCGGCTCACGGCGGAAGCCTACCGTTGGCACATGGTTTTGGTCTAAGCGTTGAGGTTTATTTGATTATCGGTTCCTCAGGGTTTAGCGGGCAGAACAATAAATCATAGACTTGACAAGGTCACATCAATCCTACATTGAATTACGTCTAAATAGGAGACCCCGAAACTTGGGAAACACACAGTATGATTGCCTGCTGTGCGAGTATCTTGTATCTCGTTCCCCAGGCATTGGTACTGTCACCTCTCGCTTCAGCTGCTTCAGAAACCCCCCACTATGGGCCCTCGGGTATGGAGTTATGCCAGAACCAATTAAGCAAGGACCATGTGCAATGACAGTCAAGTTTACCGATGGAGAGAAACGTAGTTCTTGTCACTTTAGTCTGCATATGCAGTGAGTTGTCCTGAGGCGTTAAGCCGACTAAAATGCCTAGTTGACGATAGGTTGGAGATTGGGATATGAGTCTACGGTAGTGTATTCATACTGAACTCGAGATCAACCTATGGGGACTAATAAAGATTGTATTCTTTGTATTTGCAACATAGCCGTAATGGCGATACACATTCAATATGTACCCATCATATGCCAAGGCACGACAGACTCATAAAAAGAAACCTGTCAACTCAGATAAATTACATACAATCCCTCTGTAACCCCGCGTCAACTTTAGTGCCCGTAGCCCGTACCTCACCATCATACGGATACGGCCCGCATAGACTAAACTAATCTAATATCGAGGCTTTGCGCATATCCAGACGCCATGTTTCTAGAAGGTTCAGTGGGGCCGTCTTTGGGACCCTGGAATAATGTATTCTCACCAGCCATCCTCGATTCCTACAGGTTGGCCTGACTACTCGTTAGGCGCCCTCACAAGGCTTTCCTTGTCGTGTCTAAAATCAACGGCTCAACCGCCGCCGACTTCGGGTGGCGGGTTGAATCCATGTCATGTCTTTCCTCCTGCTCGTTGTCTGGTAAGAAAAGCTGGGATCCTCAAGGGGCTTGTGTTTCGCTTGGCTGCAAATCATTACAGCCCGCGGCTCCCCGGATTATTTTCCTACACCTATCAGCTCAAGCCAGCATCATAACCCAACTCATTCATTATACAGATGCTATACCACTACCAACCAGCATATGGCTTGTATGGAACTGCTTTGAATGGCTCTTGTATATGCAGTTATTACTATCAGAATTTAGAGTTGTGTCATAGCTTTTTTATCGTTGAGACGGCTATCGAGAATACCACGTGCATCAATAATACCTGTTGTATTACACCGGAACGTCTTTAGGTTGTGCATACGGGGGTGAAACCAGCGTATGCTTTAGTTGACACCCAATATTGTCTGGCCCATGGCGTATCCGAATCAGAGGGACTATAACTGGAACAAGCGATAGTCACTCAGCCGCAGCATTTGTATGGTATATCCTACCAGTGAATACATCCATTACCGTCACGAGCGAGACAGTGCCAGGCTATTAAGAGGAAAGACGAATGCAGTCGTGGTCACCATAGAATCATCGGTATCGTAAGTACCAACGTAATCAAGTCCTATTCACTTCCGTAATATGTATCGTATCACAGTGGTTTTAAACAACACCTATGGAAGTGATGTTCTGTACAGAATTGTCGTCTCTAACTAAACAATGTTGGTATCGTTGTATAAACACACCATATAATGGCCATACGTTTTGACAATTAATCGTGTTCTCATCCGATGACCCATGTTGTTCCCAAGTTCTACCCAATCGATGAACAATAACCAAAACCTAGTATCCTTTCCATAGCAAACCCGCCATGGTTTCACATCAAATAAAATAAAAAGCAAGACAAGACTGTTTTCAGTCATTGCAGACTCGTCGTCCCGCGAGAATTATGCTCCGGCCGTGACGCCCTGTCGATGCCAGCAGGCCTATACTCCATACCTCCTATCCAAAGGCTTCTGAGATACTACAGAAGCAACCCATAATCACAAAGTATTTTAGTTTTCGTTCTCATCAGGGTTGTCCGAACCATTGTTAGATCCCATGATGGAACCGACAAACTCTTGGTACTTGAACACCTCGCCTCTCTTGGCACCCAGATGAGCGTTCATATTGCGGTTAAAGGCTCGACGACCAGTAAACCCGTTCATGATCTTATCAATCTCGTTGGCACTCAGAGCCTTCTCACCAGGTTCGGGCGCAGTCTGCAAAAGCGCGTTGCGCAGCTCAACTACATCCACCTGACCGCTGTCGTCGTTATCGAAAGCCGAAAAGGCGGAGAGCAAGTCGGCGCTATCAGATAGAGCTGCTAGTGCGTCGGCAAGCGAGTTGAGAAACATTGCTAGACTGATGGTTTGAGGCGCCGATGTAGGAAAAAACAGGCAGACATCAGCTGGCGTGGACGGTAAACCTATTGTCTTATGTTAGCCGCTGTCGCGATGTCTATCTTCTGGTCGCGTAGCTTACCTAGCTGGTTAAGCATATCTGTAACGTCTTCTCGGTTCACAACACCATCACAGTCTCGGTCCATGATCTGAAAGGCATCTCGTAGTGTTCGCACTTGTGTTGCTGCCAATTGCGACAGCGCGTTACCACTGCCGAGTGACTTTGATACCGGTGTTCGAGGTGCTGACAGTCGCGGAGGTGATGGGGAAGCCATTTCGTCTTTCACAGGAGTCTTGGGCTTTGCTGTCCAGCTGGGTTGTGTGCTTGTGGGAGTGGTAGCTCTAGCGAAGCGCGAAGTAGAGCCAAAGGGTCCGGCCTTTGTAGGGGAACCAGTCGGTGTGACTGTGGTATTTCGGAGGGGAGACGGTGAAGCAGGAGATTCGGCTCGACGAAATGGAGAGCTGCGAGTAGGAGACGAGCCATAGCCAAGAGGCGAAGGCTTGTATGTAGCCGGTACAGACTGAAAACGAAAGCGTTAGCTGGGCCGGGCGTCACTTGTCAGGGATTGTTCGTCATGGAACGAGTACCATTGTCTTGTACGTGGGGCCGTCCGTGTTTGACGAGCGGAGATGGAAAATAAACAGGTTTAGGAGAGACGAAGAAGAAAAAGCGATAATCCGAGGTTAATCGTTGGTAAATACAAACGAATACAGTGTAAGATAGGCTATGGATTGGTGGGTTGGTTATGGATAGCCGTTGTCGTCATTTGGGGAAGCATTGAGGTTGTAATGCACTTTAACGAGGTTCGCCAAAGTAAACACGGAATTGGTTCCCAGGGAGATGCATTGAACATTGAACGCCGCAGATGGCGCAGTTAGTAAGACAGCCACAGTTGAAAAGCCAAGACGATGCGATGGATGGCAGCATGGCACTCGCATGGCGCTAAGAGGAGCATGGGTACTCTAACCTGAGCCTACCACAAGTTGAAAGCTACGATTTCAGGGGATGCAGGGGAGAGGGCGACCCTTTTTCTAGGTGGGGACAAGTTTGAGTGGTTGACGGTCTTTTTGACGATACTTTACAGCTTTCAAGACGTCCAGTCAGTTTCAACTATTAAGGGTTTATAACTTTCAATTAATAAAATAGGTTCAGGTAGACCAGTAGATTAAACCGATCTTGCAACAGCTCAAGAATTGTTTTCAGGGGTTAAGCTAATCTATTAAATGAGAATGAGGGGGGAAACAAGGCTGGACCCGACTTTGTGGATATAGAACTGCAAATGATCACTTATTAACCCTCTATAAGACCCAACCAACTACCTTGACTGCTTGTGTTTTTACAGATCACTATGTCCAATTAATCACATACTGCTCGCCGTTTGTTTAGGTCCATTCTGTCCTACCTTTATCGTCTTGTCCCCGCAAGCCAAGTCAAGCCTCCCTACCCACATGCTTCCTTGGCGGGCCATGTCTCAGCTACAAGACTGTCTTTAAATCTGTTTCTGTTGCATTTCCGATACCAAGCAAGCAAACAAGTAGCAGTGGTACATATCACTGTCTATACTAACAAAACTGTCACCATTCACTGCATTAATTGAGGAGATTTAGGTGACGCTCAAAGTGGAACAAACAAGCGTCGATCCTACTGCGCATTGCATTACAGTACATACATAGTACAGAGTACACCGTATCCTTCAACCATTAAGGTACCGTACACTCTCTGTCGGACGTCCCGAGTCGAGACGCAAAGAATAATCACATCACCCCAATCCGGAACCTACGAGGGTGTCGTGTTTCGTGTCTCAGAACCCCGGTCTGATTCCGTCTTCGGCCCTGTCTCGTCTCCGCCTCCAGCTCCATCTCCATCATGGCTTCTTCGTTCCAGGCAACGCTGCCATTCTTTTCAAAGGTGACCAACAGCACCGCAAACAGTCACGGCCACAAGCACAGCGCCAGCAATTTCTCCAATGCTTCATTGCCTAACAATCGACGAACCTCCTTGGCCTCATTTCACTCCTCGCGCCCAGAATCGCAAATGTCACAGGCCTCACCACCTCCTTCGAGGTCGCCTCTGCCCCCTCCTGGTCCCGAAGCCGATCGCATGTCCGACCCTAATTCCCGATCAAAGACGCCGTCGACAGGAATATCCTCTCAACATTCTTCTCTTTCAGCCCCTCGACGAACCAACCCTCATGCTCGACCTTCCAGAAAGCTGCGCTCTCAGTACCCTCGAAGCTCCACCGAAAACCATGTCGAATACATCCTTGTCGCATCCTTCGATATTGATCGGGGCCCCGTCATGGAACACCAGTATCCAGTTGCGATCACGGGAGACGAGAACATGTTGGCTGAACTCATGTTGCCAGATCAAGCCCATGCCCGTAACCAGGATTGGACAATATTCTTTCTCCACAAGGACACAAGCGAAGAGGACGAGGATAAAGAGCGCAAGAATAAAGAAAGTCGGAAAAAGAGGCGCATGAAAAGACGTGACAAGGCGGCTGGTGTAATCAACGAGGAGGAGGGAGAAAATGACGAGGACATACCAGAAGAGGAGTGGGACGACGATGAAGAAGAAGGCGACGACGAATCGAGCGACAGCGAACCTGAGGGCGGCGAGGGTCCTCCTTTAATTTATGTGCTGAATCTAGTCAACACAAAACATGACAAATCGGTCAAGCGAGGAGCCATTGTCAAGGCCATGGCTATCTGCACGAGGCATCCCTTCTTGCATATATACAAGGCAAGTAGCCTTTGCACAAAACTCCTGTGCCCGCGTGCATCAGCTAACCGTACCTAGCCGTTACTATTGTTGGCCTTGGAGGAATACTTCAAAGCGCCTGTTCCAGAGACATTGGCCATGCTATACGACTCAGTCAACGCCATGGATTTGTCCCTCATGCCTAGACTCAGTCTTCTGGAACGTCATTTATTACAAGCAAGCGACAACAGGGATCTCTTCGTGGAGAAATTCGAACAAATGATTCAGATGCGGATAGCCGAAGACCAGCGCGAGGAGGCGGCAGATGCTTCGTTGGATGCGACAAAGAGTCCGACAAGAATGACTGGTATATCGAGGGCTGGCACAAAGGCCCACGTTGAGGGTGGCCAGTCGGTTTACTCTGTTCCCCGCGATACACATGAGTTTGAGAGCAAGGTCATGTACAAGGGAATACCGATCCCTATCAAAGTTCCTGTTGCTGTCATGCCGGAAACCGTTGGTGACTTTTCACTCATTAAACTCATCCAGAACTTCTCAGACACTCATCAGAAATCACCGCAACCGTTCCCACTACATCCGCATCTTACCACCAATGGAGCAAACACACATCCCATTATAGTGTTGGCAAATGCGCTGCTGACACAAAAGAGGATCATCTTTATGGGATATAACATGCCTTCAGGCGACGTCGCTGAAGCTGTGTTAGCCGCGTGTGCGCTGGCCTCGGGCGGCATCCTACGCGGGTTTACACGACATGCCTTCCCTTACACCGATCTGACAAAAGTCGATGATTTGCTCAACGTGCCCGGTTTTATCGCTGGTGTAACAAACCCAACGTTCGAACTCCACCCCGAATGGTGGGACGTCTTGTGCGATCTGCCGAGTGGAAGGGTCAAGATCAGCGCAAAGATCGACCCTGCGCCTGTGACAGAAGGTCTGTTGTATTTCCAGCAGCAGAATGCAGCCTTTGCAACCATAGCAAGTGGTACGACAAACACAAGCCAAGACTTGACGGGCGACAATGCTTTTATGGCTGATGTTCTGAGGAGCATTGCAGCAAGACACGGCGAACGTGTGATTCGGGCCAAATGGAGAGATTGGGTTGGGAAATTCACACAGATCGCGGCCAAGTTTGAGGAAAGCGTGTACGGAGCTAGTGCCCTGTACATTGGAGGCGAAGACCAGGACTTAATGCCGCAAGGTGCCAACGGGCATGGATACGTTTGGCCAGATGATACAGCCAAAAATAAGGAGTTGGCTGGTAATGTGACAAGAATCGAAGGATGGCGCAACACTCGAAGCTACTACAGCTTCATCCAGGTAAGAACGCCATGTTCGGCAGGATGTAACTCGAAACTGACTCTTTTCAGGACTTGGCACAGATCTATACCATCAGACCTCTGAAGGGTCTTGACCTTGCCCATCTTCATGACCGTCTACGAATGCAGCGCTTGACACCTGCGCAGAGCAGAGATATTTATCTCACAGTTTCTAAACACGTGCATACATATGATGAGATTTGCTTACTCCTCAGCGTCGCCCCTGAATCTCACGCAGGGCTCTTCTATCTCGGTCTCGGCTTATTTCACAAAGACCGCGAAGTCCGTCTGAGAACAGCAGATCTATTAGAACGAATTGCCGACCACGAAGCTGGCCAGCACTGGTGGAGGAGTCTCAGTCGGTTTGAAAAGCTAGCATATATGCGGCTCCGGCGAGAAGTGGATGCAGAGATGCAAGCAAAGCTAGAAAGGGAGGGCATAAGCCCAGAGATGGAGCGAGTGGTAGCTAGCTGATCGTTACGGAGTTGATATTTGGGCTGGAGAAATGTTGACGGGTCATTAATGCTATAGGGGTTATGACATGGGTTTGCATTAGATATCTTTCAAGATTCATCTAGGCGGCGTTTCGTTCAAATATATGGGCAGGGAACGACAATCATGGTTCACATTTGTCGATGGTTACGTATGAGTGAATTGGAATAGAATATTATCATTTAATTTGCTTTTTGTGTCCCTTGATCGGAAAAGTCACGACCCATTCTTAGCTACCAACAACCAGAGCCATGTATTATGGCCATAAACCAAAAGCCTTTGCTTCTAGTGAGCAGAACATACTGCTTTGTATTCCCCAAGATGGCGCCGTAAAAACCCAACCGAATTTTGTCAAAGAATTGTTGGCTTTTCATCTATTTTACAGCGCACTGCGTGGTAGTCACAAGAGACCGAGGGCCTTGGCGGCGTGCTTGACGTGGTCCTCGCCAAAGGTAGAGATGAAGAAGTAAGAGTGATCGTAACCCTATAGATATGTCAGTGTTGAGTTGATTAAGGACAAGAAAGTGAGACTCACGTCCTGGTATCGGAGGGTCATGCCGTCAATGCCAGCATCCTTCACAGCCTTCTCGAGATTCTCGGGGAGAAGCTGGTTCTGCTTGTAAAAGTTGTCACCAGTGCCCTAGTTTTGTTAATACTCTTCTCATTATGAATTTGGATTACAGTGACTCAAACTCACCACATCGATGAGAGCAGGGAAGTTGCCCTTCCAGCTCTTGATGAGCTCAGTAGCATCGTGCTTCTTCCACTCCTCCTTATCCTCGCCAAGGTAACCCTTGAAGGCCTTCTCACCCCAGGGGCACTGAGAAGGGTTGGAGATAGGAGCCCAAGCACTGACACTCTTGTACTTGCCAGGGTTCTTGAGGAACAGAGTCAAAGCACCGTGGCCACCCATTGAGTGTCCAGAGATGGAGACGCGCGATGAGTCAACCTCCTTGAACTCCTGGAAGATGAGGTCAGGCAGCTCTTTGGTGATGTATGTCTCCATCTTGTAGTGCTGGCTGTAAGGGTCCTTCTTGGCATCGATGTAGAAACCAGCACCGCTGCCGAAGTCGTAAGAGTCGTGCTCACCGGGCAGGTCGGTCTCGCGAGGAGAAGTGTCTGGGTAGAGAAGAGCGAGACCAAGCTTGGAGGCGTGGGCGTGGAGGAAGCCCTTCTCTGTGACGTTGTCGGGAGTGCATGTGAGGCCGGAGAGATAGACGAGGAGAGGCGCGGGCTTGGAAGATGAGGCGGAGCCGGGGAGGTAAAGGGTTGCGTTCATGGGAGTTCCAGTGACGGCGGACTTGTGAGACAGCTTGAGGAAGCGTCCACCGAAGCTGTTGATGGTGGCATTTGTAGTGAAGGCCATGATGAGCGAGCTTTTGATGCAAGATGAGATGAGACAGTGATGCTATACAAGGTCAATTGGGGGTATCAAGTTGATGTTAGTTCCAAGAATGAGAAAAGAGGAAATGAAACAAGAGTAAAAGTCGTCAGGCAGTTAGTTTATTATGAAATAGTCAAGCTCTCTGTCCAAGGAGGGGAAGCTTCCAGTCAAGACGTGATCTGGGGTAACCTTTACCCCACTATCATCATCAATACTGGGATTATCAAAACATGACGAATGCCGAATTATCTCCCCGATTTGAATTGATTCCCCGCTCCGGAGTCCGGAACCTCCTCCGTGTCACCGGTCGGAGGCAAGATACGGCTTTTATTAGGTCTTTTGTTGTCACAGATATAAGCAGCGGTAGTTCTCTGATGCAACACGGCATTGATATTTGTCTCATTCAGAAAGCAATCAGAGCTAACCGTGTCCCTGGAGGCAGTTCATCAAAAGGTATCAATTTCATTATATCGCTTCATGTCTCCAGAGGACTGAATCTAAATGCTAAAAAAGCTATCGCTGCCAAGTTCAGAAACTCCGTCCGGCATCTGTGCCCACTACTCCGTACCCAATTAATTATATCCATAACCTCAATGTTTATCGTTATCAACCAATCGAAAACATATGCCTCTATCTGCGTGTACAGTCAAAGCTGCTGATGAGGGTGTTCCACTTGATGGCAGTTAAATTGTTCTTGTTTTCGTAGTTGTAATCTACCGAGCCAAAGGTACATCCTGTGGGACTCCTACAGCTGTCGGTGCAATTGGTCGTACGCGGGTAGCAGTAAAACTCTTCGCCATCTGGAGAAAAAGTGGTTGTGTTTTGATAGAAAGGTGCTTTAAGTTGATGGCATTTGTCGAGCTCGTACACCTCATAGGAGCAAGTGCCTGTTGAGTTGGCACCTGTACATAGTAAGACCTGGATCATCAAGTGTCAGTATGAGTCAAGACGTGGGATGAGACATGGATGAAGGAAAACGAAAGTGAGACTTACACCTCCAAACTCTCTTTTACGTAGAAATGATAGAGGAGAGGCAGATATGCTCATGGCTGAAGCAAGTGTTGTGATGGCGATAGAGAACTTCATGGCTGCGGTTGTATATTTGTGTTGATGTTCGATATCCAGACACTGAAAGCAATGACTGTTTGAATGAGACAAAGATAGTGAGATGATTTGAGTCAGAAAGATGTTTGAAAGAGGCTGGACTTGGACGGTTTATATATATTGGCAATTGGTGAGTATTAGTCGATCGTTTCTATTTGCTTGTCGCTGCAGTTGTACCAACCTCCTCCTCTTGACGTGCGACCAATCGAACTTATAACAAACTTCCACTACATATGACTTCACCAAAATCATCTTTCTCCTAACTACGTCGGACTCGTGTGACTAAATTAGACGCAACCTTCAATCATCGCTTGATTAATTACGCAGGGTCAAGAAATCTCCGCCGACGTCATGCCGCCAACTGATCGGCTCACAGCGTTGTGGATGGTGATCATTTAGTCATACTTATTGTTCGCACCACCCTTCCAATGCAGTTTTCTCGAATGAAATAAGCAAGAGACGCCAAGTTGAGAAAGGTCACTCCAAAGTTTATTTGTATGATCCACAAAGCTACGGCTGTCACGGCTCTGCCTCTAGGCCTGACCCGTTTCCGGATTGAGGTGGTGCGAGGTTGGAGGGAGGACAAAGAATTCTAGACCCATGGTTGGACAATTCAATCTGAGGTACAGAGTAACTAAGGACGTTTCTCAATGTGACAAGCTGCAGACGCTGAAGGCCTGTATCCTTACTTTGGGGATTGACAAAACACCTTGTCCAGCACATTGGAATTATCGTATGAGGGATTGCTCCCTTGCTTGGATACTGGCCGACTATCAAACCTTGTGACGTAGATGAGGTTGCGCATTTTGTTGTCCAGGAACAGAATATGCCGTCATGTCTCGCGCCGTTGTTTCAGTGAAACACAATTTGGCCGAGCCTGTCTAGACCATGACACCCCAAACAACCCGTCTTCGCCCGTCATTTCCACTCGTACTTCGACCGAGCACTCCCACTCTGTGCTGTATGTGACGCGACAACGTCCGTCGACGAGCCAGTTCTGTAAGGGGTCTCTTCCGTCTTCGTCAACGGCTTCGCTAGAGCCAATCAACACACTCGTGCAACGAAACATAGAAGCAATATGATTTCCTTCTTTTTTCTAGTTCCTGTGTAAATGAATCTCAAACGCCGCGCTTATACAACATTAATTAACCTCCTGATACACTACTCGACATGCCAAGCTAGAGGGAACGCACGACGTTCTGGCTCGATTGTGATCTAAACAAGGTCGCATGGGTATATGCACCCCGCGGGCAATCGGTTTGTTTCGTTTCGTGCTTGTCCTTATTTCGCTTACTGCAGTAGTTCCTCGCAGGTCCAGTCCTCGTAGCTTTACCAGACGCGTTAGCAAGGCCATTCTATCACGGCGAACATAAACATCACTTACTAGCCATCAGGCATGTAGCGCCGCACGATCAAGGGGATCTTCTTTTCTCGCATCTCCTTGATCGCAATCTGTAGGGGATCTGTCTCACCCTCAAGATCAACAAGGACAGGCGCATTCATGCTGCAACTAGTTAGTCTTCTTATATCGCTCCAATCCATCAAGATATTGCGAACCTGATCTGCAGAGCGCGCGTGCCGAGGATACGCGCCCTCTCATACTTGGTCATATAAGGGGTTGTGGTTCGCTCGTTCTCGGGGATCTTCTTGTCTTTCAGGATCCTATCACCGCCCTTCGCCGCGTTCGCGATAGCTGAGGGGTCTCCAGAGGGAACAATGTTGTCATCCTGGACGCCTTGCTGGTTGTCATCATCCTCACCAGCAGGCTCGGGGTCGTAATAATCGTTGATCTCCTCATCCTCGTACATGTCGTCGCTGCCTGGTAGTTAGAATCGCGTGCGCCTCAGCAGGAACGCCAAGAAACTTACCCTCCAGCGCCGGCCACATCATCATCGCCAAAGTCAGACATGATTTATGATATCGATAGAAAGTATGTGGTAGACCGAGGGTGTTGCGATCGCGAGTTGCGTTTGTAATGAATGGTTAGATCGAACCTCGTAAAAAAGTTCTAGAGAAGAACAAAGTAAAACCTGGTTTGACCGATATTTAGCCGGCGCGCCTTCAAACAAAGACTCGGCGCGGAAGCTGTAAGGTGGGTCGCGCCTGCCTGATCCCTGTCGATAAATCGTCTGCCCCCACCAAAAAAATCAAGGTCACCGCCTTAAAATGAACTTAATTCTGCCACTTGCAAGCTCAGTTCGACATTGACAATTCAAGCCGCCCTCGGCATGATAGCATCATGAGTAAAAGAGATGCTGCCGAGGCAGCGCCTGAAGTGCCGCCAGCTAAAAGAGCCAATTATGGTGGCCCAGGTGGCCTATGTAGGAAAATATCCAGCAATTCTGTACTTGCAATAATGGCTAATATGAATTTAGATGTTGATGATGTGGAGGACGATTTGACTAGTGCTCATACTCCATGTTCAGCTCCGGGTCCCGACTCGCCCCAAACAATCAACACAGCTGCTACGACTCCACGGCCCAAGTTTCCTTCAGATTTGAAAACCCTCGCTTGCACATGGCCCGGTTGCCCGAAAACGTTCAATCGACCTGCGAGACTACGAGATCATCTGAACTCCCACACCAATTCCCGTCCTTTCAAGTGTGCTTATGATGGTTGCGATAAAGATTACATCGAGGATAAACATCTGAAACAACACATCAAAGCTGTGCATACTCTGGAGCGAAAACATGTTTGTACGAAGGAGGGGTGCGGCAAGAGCTTCGTTACGGGCACTCGTCTGAAACGTCATCAAGCTGTTCATGAAGGCGAGGAGAGGTTTCGCTGTAAAGACTGTGGACAGAGCTTCCGAAAGAAGGAGACATTGAGCAAGCATGTCCGCAAGGACCACCAAGGTTTACCTGCACTTCAATGTCCTGAGCAGGGTTGTCCACATGCCTTTGATTCAAAGGCGGCCTTGAAGCGACATCGTGAGAGAGAACACGGCGACGCAAAGTTCTGGTGCGGAGAATGTGGTTTGCAAAAAATGCCCGGCGGCACGGAACAGCGTGTTGGATTCACCACAGAAGTGCTACTTCAAGCACATGTCCGCCAAGAACACCAAAATTGCATCTTCTGCGACTTTAAGCCAGCCTCCCGATGGGATCTTGAAAAACATGTCGAAATGCATCACTCTGGTCAATCCGTAGAGGATCGCAAGAACATCCCTTGTCCTTTCGACGAATGCCACAAAAAGTTCACCAAGAAGTCGAATTTGAATGCGCATATCCGCACAGCTCACGAAAAGATCCGGTTCGTATGTGGTGAGGTCGATCTCAGTGGTTCTGGCCTTCATGGCTGGACAAATGACCAAGGATGCGGTGACAAGTTCAGCACGAAGGGTCGATTGGAAGATCATATCCGCTACAGCTCCAGGCACCTCGGCGAAGAGCGTCCCAAGCTCTCCAAACCAGAACCATCTCAAGAAGTCAACCTCATCGACGAACTCTCTGGTGCCGCCGCCCAAGCAGAACGGACTATCTCGTGCCCTCACTGTCACCAAGCCTTCGTCCGCTACCATGACAGAGATACACATGTGGACTTATATCACCCACCAAACCCAGACCCCTCTCTGGTCTTGTCTGAGGATTATCTCGACCCGGCCCAGTTCTATTTTGACAGCAGCTTTCCCAACACGCCATCCTGGCCTGGGATCATATCTGAGGATGAGCTATTCGCTGCATCTATAGACTACGGTACTCCTCACGACGACTGGCCTGAAGACGAGACCAACATACTCTTGCTGGCACGCGATTCTGCAGTCCAGGACCCTCTTGTCGATCCGGCTCTTGGTGCCATCTGAAAGAAAATTAAAATCTGGCGAAGAAATGGAATGGCGTTTTCGCTTTGGTAATGGAACGGAAAAGTTAATAGATACCCAGCCGCAAGGCTTTGGTGGGTGTTCTCTTATGGGAGTAAGGTATTATGCCGCCATGATGGAATGAAATGGATGTCACAAAAGTAGCGAAATAGCTATCTAAAACAATGAAAGTCTTTTATTCTAGTACCTATAACCTGTGCTTGCGTAGGCGTGGCACCCGTCCTTTCTATGTATAATGCCCATGTCCCAATATGATTTTGTTGCACATCCAATAACCAAAAGCACCAGGTAAAAGTCAACACGACCAAACACCGTGCAGAAAACAGTCAAACAGTGAAATGAATGAATAATGGCGTAAAAGTTCGTGTAGCATGAAGAGTGCCGCTAGGCATATGTATACTAGAGAGCCGGGAACTCTAGTGAGAACCAACAAGAGCGTTGCTGAAGCCGAGCAAAGCCATACCAAGGAAACCAAAGAAAATACACAAGTTACGACTGTGGTTGAGGCTCAGACTCTCTACAAACAACTGTAAAGCTACACTAACCATTATGCCAGATGTAATAGCAAAGAGGCAAGCATATGCAACCGCACTGGGTTGCATATTTGTTCTATCAGCAACCTTGAACCACAATGCGGCAATGCCTGCACCGATAGGCTGAGAAAGACCACCCAGGAAAGCTGACCAGGCCATGGCGCGCCAGCGAGAACCCAGCGCCATGTAAAGAGGCAAGCACATGGCAAAGCCTTCAGTGATGTTGTGGACGAAAAGAGCCATGAAAACATTGAACCCCAGAGAAGGGTTTACATGGTTGGTTGCATAGGTGATGAAGCCTTCAGGGAACTTGTGTAGGGCAATGGCTATAGAAGTTTGAAGACCAATGGACAAGAAGGCATTGGTTGGGACGTGGTGGTGATGTTGGGCCTCGACATCTTCATCGTCTGCTACAGATGAGCATGATGAGTCGTGATCGGAAACTTCTTCCGGGACTATCGGTTCGATTGGTTCGCGCGACTTGGCTCGGCTGATTCGGTATGTTGGTCTGACAAAAGGCTCAATGGATTCTTCGCATTCATCACCATGCTGATGATCATGATGGGCATGCGAATGCTCGTTTCCACGTAGGAATGAGCCTGTGGTAGTTCGAAGAATCTGAGTTTGTCGTCCAGGTCTGCTAGGTAGGCTGACACGATTGTTGAGATGCTTGAAACATTCCTGACCACATGGATCCGAGAACCCGTAACAAGAGTTTGACTCGTCGCAATTGCACTTTGTATCTTGTACAAAGGACATGACGCGCTTATGAACCTCTCGAATCGACTTTCTTCTCTCGGGGAAGGCATCTGTGATCCCTGCAGTAGTGCGGCTTCGGGTTGGGCTGGCAGGTCGTCGCAATTCGTCTTGGGCGGAGGCTTGCCGCTTGAGAGTACTGGTTGGGCTATCCAAAGTCGACTCGAGCAAAGGCGTGGACTCAGTAGCTGTGCTTGGCGATTGACTGGTGGAGAGTTTGGAAAGCGACTTGTCGATAGGGGCTTGAGATGACGGGGGGCGTGAGGAACGACGACGAGCTCTGGACTGTCTCCTGTCATGCTGGCACGAGGTATCCTTTGTCGCATTCTCATCATGAGAATGGTCGCACTCTACAACGTGGGTAGGCATGAACTGGTGAAGCAATCGCGAAACACCCTGGATGCCAATGAAACCACCGACGAAACAGGCCATCATGGTCAGGCCAGCAGCCTGCTTGGACCATTCAGCCTGTTCGAAGTATTCCTTGGATTCGGGCAGCATACTATACAATGCGGAAAAGAGCTGTAGGCTTGTTAGCAATGGTGACAAGCGCATATGAATGGAGGTCCTACCATAACACCGAAACTCAGGCTTAGAGAGCATGCTAAGAAAACATTGCTGTCTTGAATGCGAAAGTTCTTCTTGCCAGGGAACAAGCGCACGATCACGTCAACACATACTATGGAAGCGCCGACAACGCAGGCTTTGGTATATTCATCAGATGCTGTGTTTTGGAGCGCATTGAGTTTGGGGGAGAGATATCGACTTACCAATGCCGCTGACAATACACATGATCCAGCCACGAGTATCATTGTCAAGACCGCTCGAGGCCGCCGAGGTGGCCATGATGCTGGGGTGTATCGTTTTTGTATAGTGAGTAAAAGACGATGCGCTTGGAGATGCGATTCCGAGGTTATCAGGTCTGAAGGGTAGAGAATCAAGCCGTCCTAGCAACTGTCTTTTAGTTACAGAAGCTGTTCTGCACTCAATGGTACAGTGATGGGCGCAAAGTGAAAGAAATAGCAGAAGACCCCGTCGATCTTTTTTGTTGGTGTCTGACGTAGCGAACGAGCAGGGGAAGGTCTTATGCGGTTTTGTTTAGCGCAGAGAGTGGGGATGGGGGCCTTATTTATTCGAGTAATCAATGACAGTGAGAACCTCTATGAGTTATAGTTTAATAATGCAGTATCAACAAATAATATGTTGTTTCTAGTCAATGACTGGGACAAGAATGAATGAATGAAAGGAGTGATCGAGGCTGAAAGGAGCTTTGTCATGGATCATGATAGAAACTACTATTACCTCGAAACTCGTGCCCATGAGAGACTATTTCTAAGATGAGAAGACGAATAAAGACAGACGCTAGATTATCTAGCTCTTCCTCTTGGACCCTTTTCTGTCCTTTTAGAAGCATCAAGCATCAAGATAAGGAGGGGTCATCTTGTCCCAAAGTGTCCCTCAAGGTTCTCACGTTTCAGCATCGCGCACCATTGGACAGCTGGGTGTCTTCATTGACCGCCAGCTTACGAATGTTGACGCCTTTTCTTGACAATGTAGTAGCAGTTAAGACATTAAGAGGGGAGAATTGCGCTATTAACAAGGGCTCGTAGCAAATGCTCGATTCTACGTCTTTAGGTGGGTTCGCATTCACATTCACATACAATTCCATAACTAGCAAGAATCCCATTGTATTTTTAGTGCATCAACCTATTCTAAATAGCTCGAATTACCATACGGCTAGTTGCCTATGCGTTGCCGTCGTGTAACATGGCATGCAGATAAGGCTTATATGAGTCTCATCATGATACCTCTCTCAAACTTGGTCTATTTTTCGAGATTTATCCGGCGAATCAATTTCTTGGGTTTGTCATCATTGCCAAATTAGAAGTTGTGCATGGTACAGTACAGTACAGTAACCGCTGCGAACGGCCATGCTGACCGTGAGTTTATTTACCAAAGTCGGTGGGTAGACAGCTACATGCTCTACTCTATGGTGGGAAGAGGCCCAAAATACTGATTAATACGGAATTGGAAGTTCGCATGCGTTTGTTGCACAACGGCTACCCACAATACCATTCCCATTAGGGTGGCTATGTATATACCTCTAGATCAAAGTGCATATCCTATGAGTGGTCTCATGAGCTTAATACTGCTGTAGACTTGTAGTCAATAACTTTAGTAGATACTAAGTATCTAACATCAAGTATGAACATGTTCTTGGATTCATATTCAAGATCATATCAACCAATGACGTCAAATTATACTGGTCTCCAAGACCCTTAATCCACTGATAACGATAATCTATGGCACAACACCGGTCTCCCCCACGTTCCGTTCCGGAAGCTCAGCTCCCAAATTTTAGAATCCAACGGGTCCCCAAGCTCCGATCTCAAGCTTGCCCGTGACCGAAATACCAAAACATCACGGGGCTCTACAGCTCAACACCATTGGGTATAGATCTACACACCCTCAGTTTCCTCATATCTTGGTTCAATCTTCATTCATTAAGACCAAACTCTATTCTTCATTCTTTTCTTTACACCAACGAGCAACCATGTCCAAGACTACACTCGCTACCATGGCCTGCCTGGGCGCAGGAGGCGGTGCTGCTATTACTGCCGCCGTCTACTCCATTCGAGGTGGTAAACGCGTCGAAGAGACCAACACGCTGGCTACACCTCCTCCAACCACCAACTCCTTCGCCGCCCTTCCTGCTCCCACCGCATCGCCCTCCATTCCTCCCACCCAGGTCTTTGGCCCTCCCGCCGGTGCCCCTCCTTCCAGCACCCCCATCGACGTCAACGCCATAGTCAACCCCGCCGGTCTCTTCGAATACGGCTTCCCTGGCCCTGTCGCCGATGTCGCCAACCGCTCTGGCCTCGTCTCCTCCTATGACCGTCGTCTGCGAAACCCTCACTGGGTCGTCGAACATATCACTCCTCAGTCTCTCGCCATTCGTGAGGGTGATCGAAAGCACAGCAACTTTGTCGAAGATGACTCTGTCCCTCAAAAGTTCCGCGCTGGTTTGAAGGACTACTACCGCAGTGGCTTCGATCGTGGTCACCAGGTCCCTGCTGCTGACTGCAAGTGGTCCCAGAAGGCCATGGATGACACATTCTACCTTTCAAACATGTGCCCTCAAGTTGGCGAAGGTTTCAACCGTGACTACTGGGCGCACTTCGAGGATTTCTGCCGTCGCTTGACTGTCAAGTACCCCTCTGTTCGCATTGTTACAGGCCCTCTGTACCTCCCCAAGAAGGAAGCCGACGGCAAGTGGTATGTCAAGTATGAGATGATTGGAAGCCCGCCATCTGTTGCTGTGCCCACGCATTTCTACAAGGTGATATTTGCCGAGGACGGCCGTGCTGGTGGAAACGTTGCTTTGGGCGCTTTCGTCCTCCCCAACGCACCTATCCCCAACTCCAAGCCTATTGCCGATTTTGAGGTTCCTCTCGAGGCTGTTGAGCGGGCGAGTGGACTTGAGTTTGCTACCAAGCTTCCTCCTCAGCGAAGACGCCGTCTGTGTGCTGACCACACATGTGCTCTGGTTATCAAGGAATACGCGGAAAGACAAAAGGCTTTCCCCAAGAAGTAAAGAACTGAATTTAGGATCAAATATGGTGTATAATAGAACAAGAAATGAGGAGCATTGCACACAAAGAATGAAATGGCATGGGATACGTAACCTCGGTGAGTCTTTCACGTGCACAACTACACACAGGAGCATCGGAATCATGCATCATGTTGCCGCAAATAGAATCAGGCATGCACAATCTAGAAATGCATTTTTGTAAGCCTGGATGAATGAATGATCATGGGTATTCAAAAATACTTAATTGATATAACATTATACTACTACTTGGCACCGCGCCAAGTATACACCAAGTGACTGCTTAATATAGCCCCATTGTCACTTCTCACCTTTCATGGACACTCTGGTATGGTCTTTCCGAAGTTTCGAAAACCAATTTCTCAACAAAAGACGTTTTCTCAACGGGAGAGCTTTTTCCGACGAGGGTCGTTTTCTCTACCTCGCCCTCGTATATTTTCCTTGCCGTTGTTCATGCCGCAAACTGTCTTCCTGGCTGGGTAAAGGGGCTCTTCGCCTGATATTCTCTGCCTTCTCAGCATCAAGAGCAGACATAGGAGGAGGTGGTGGGGGTATGGCGAAGCCCCCAGGTGGTGGGGGTATACCGCCTGGTGGTAGAAGACCTGGGGGCAGAGCTCCAGGTGGTGGCAGAGGCACGCCGGCCTTTTTCATGAGCTCAAGAAGTTGAGCTGGGTCTGGAGGATTGTTGGGATCCAGACCGGGCAGAGGTGGTGGCGGTAGACCGCCGTTGAGTCCAGGTAATGGGAATGGCAGAGGTGGTGGAGGGGCACCTGCACCGACACCAGGAATAGGAGGAGGCGGGGCAATTGATCCCAGGCCAGGTAGTCCACCAAGGGGAAGACCAGGAATACCAGGCAGGCCAGGCAAGCCAGGAACGCCGGCTTTCGGGGCATCTTGGTCGACCAGAGCATCCATCTCGTCTTCCATTTCCTGCTGCTCCTCTTCTTGACGCTGGCGACGACCACCGCGGCGATCCCATGTTCCTTGGGCTTCAGCGGCAGCTTCACCAATATGGTAGCGGTCCTGGAAGACTTCTGCGTCGCCTGGTCGAGCTCGGCTCCAGAAACGAGTTATACGATCGTTTGAACCTGAAGCTAGAATGTGACCAAGAGGATGCCAGTCCAATGACCAGATGGCATAGTCGTGTGCATAAGGGACCTTGTGCATCGGCCACACTGACTGAGCAGGCACTGTGGTTGGGTCGGGACTATCATAAGGTGCAACGGTAAAGGATTGGCCAGGGGGTGGGTTGGGAGAGTCGAGGAGGTAGTGGAAGAGCGAACCGTCCATGCCGCCAGTGCTGAGAAGATTAGGATGAATGGGATGCCATGTAAGAGTAGAGATATCCTTCTCGTGGCCCTTGAGCAAACAGATGTCTCGCATCATGCGAAGGTCGAATACGCGAGCAGTCTGGTCTCTTGCAGATGTTGCCAGGCAGGCTCCACGGACCTTTTCAAACAGGACTTTGGTGATGGTACTCTTGTGGCCGTGCAGAGTTGTTAGACAGCGACTGGTTCGCGGATCCCAAAGCTTTACAAGATGATCTTTTGAACCAGACACTAGTAAACCCTTGGTAGGATGCCAATCCACACTCTTGGCATCCCATCCGTGCCCCTCAAGCTTAGATTCCATCTGTCCCAAGGCAAAGTCGAAGATCTTGAGGGTTGAGTCATCACTGGCGGTAACGAATTTCGAGTCACTAGGGCTGAATGCAAGGTCTCGAATGGGGTCTGTGTGCGCGTTGATACTCTGGACGTTGTTGAAGTTTGGCTGCCAGTACTTGACAGCTCCATCATGATCAGCCGAAATAAGCCAATCATCACTGTGGGAGTACTCGAGAGCTCGGATAGCAGAATCGTGAGCCTGCATGATGGTTTCGAAATTAAAGCCAGTACCGTTCCACAGAGTAAACTCGCCGCTGGTTGATGCCGTTAATAATCTTCGACCTTCTGGCGTCCATCGAACCACATTAATAGGGTGTTTGATTTTGTTAAGAGAAGAGTGAAGGTGTTTGATGGGAATGCTGTCGGCGGCTTTGGTGACTCGAGCTGCAGGGGGGAGCATCTGTATTCATGTCAATTATATGTTTGCCGAATTTGGAGGAATCACTTACATCAACTATGTAGCTGACGCTGGGCCTCTCAGCTTCACCAGTATATCCTCCCTTGTAGCTAGGGGCACGATCATGCTGCCAATGTGTGATAGTAGCACCATAGTCAGTCACAGGTCCTATAAGTTGAGCAGTTAGTTAAAGAACGATATCATTCAGTATCTTAAATACAATGGAAGATATCTCCAGAGACTTTCTCTTGGCCATATGGTATTACTATCTCTACGATGAGATGGAGAGGGTGGAGCAGCAGAGCCAGAGTGATTGTTCCAGTACATCATGACAACACCCGATGCATCCGTATATCCATGGACTGATATTTATAAAGTATGCTTGAATATTCCAGTGCTTTGTTCATTGGCTGCCACTGAGCAGCTCGGTGAAGATAGCATGATAGGAAAGACCTGGGAAGGGATGTGAGATATGCATATACTTACGTCGTCCCCTGACTTTGACAAATGCTCCGTCTTGACCTTGCGCACCGCCGCCGCCGCCACCATGATCACCACGAGGCTCATAGGCCATCGTGACAGTATCCTTTTGAATGTCCAAGCATACGCAGTAGGGATAGTGAGAAGCGCGTCGTTGCAAGTGGGTCTCGAAATATTGAAGTAGCACCCAATGTATTTATGATGAGTTTGAACGATTGATAAGGCCGATACCCTAAGTGTGAGTAATGGGAAAGGACTTTTGAGAGTAACAAAGATGAAATTTTTTGTTGTAATCGAATTTGGCAAAGAATAGAGACAATGCTGTTCTCTCAGGCGCGTGAATCCTCAGGTAAAGTTCCAAGCTAACAAGCTCCAAAAAGTAAGCGATGATTAACCGACGTCTGAGCTTTGGGAGGCAGGGTTGGAGTGAAATCATGTGACACGTCTGGAATTTGGAGAAAGGATGAGTAAGCAGTCGATCCGAGGGTCTAAGGTCAAGTCAGGTCAAAGTCTAAACTTAGATTCTCAACGGTTAGATCTGATGAGATCAAAATGCCTCTCAGAAACATGCAGCAAACCACTTGGGAAACCGAGTTGTTGGGGCAGAGAGTTTGAGACTCCACGGTTCAACCCGAGCTAGATACTGCAGCAATATGCAATACAACCACACTTTCACATGCTTTTTTTCACCATACAGTACAGACGTAAAATCACAAGCCATATGGAGGGTCCAGCAGCGTATCGTGCCCCCTGTAGCGCCCCAAGTCAGTGGCTCAGAGGGCCATTGAAAAGTTCAAGATGCAGCGGAAGCCAGGGGGGTGATGCTCCCGGGCCCCTTTTTAGCGTTCATGATTTAGAAAAAGTCCCCGCTGCGAGTTTGAGATGGTGCCAAACTGGACTGTTTGCATGGGAATGAAGGACTTGGCGAGATGATGGCCAGAGAGGAGGTCATTGCGAAGAGACAGGGAAAAGTTTAATGTCATTAATAAGTCATTCTATCATGGCTTGATGTTTTGTTTGTTTTAGACTACATCTCCCTCTCATTTCCTTTTATTGACCCTCTATCTCTAAACATTCCTGTCCACTGATAACCTCAATTGACATTGTTGGTCGTGCTCTATCTTGAGGCTCTCGCTGGTCCATTCACTACAGCTGCACTGCGACAGTGGCGCTCCTCGGTATCTTATCATCCTTGCAGCAGGCCCGAAGCAAACAGCAGGAGCAGTCCATTCATAACAGCCGCCACCCTAGGGGGGTAACAGAAAAGTTGACTTGATTTTATCAAGGTCGTATCTCCGTCGGCTACTTATTTCGACTCAATCCAATTCAGTTTCTCTTTTTACAGCTCGTTTATTGTTTTATACTGTACTTGCACGATTTGTCTGCCGTCTCGGCAAGGCTCGTACAAGATGAATTCGGCTACAACAACAAGTACAGAGACTTCGAATGGCTCTGCTTCTGCCTCTATTTCTAAACGCAACGGTCACGACGTCACCCGCACCAACGGAAATGGAACAGCCACGACAGGTCCTCCAAAGAAGCCTGGTCAAAAGTACAGACACGTTGCTGCCGTTCATAAGCAGACGAGACCATCATGTTTGAGCCACGATTCAGATGCTGCTCCCAGCTTTATTGGCTTTCGCAATCTCATGGTGATTGTCCTCGGTATGTACCAAAGCCCCTCATCATGATGTTATGTTTATGCCGTGGCTGGATGATTGGCTAACTCTTAGCAGTGGTTGGAAACTTACGATTGATGATTGAAAACATTCAAAAGGTATTTATCATATTAACATATTTCAATTCGACTCAGAGCAACCAATTGACATACCTTCATAGTACGGTGTTTTGATCTGCGTGAGATGTCATGACTACAGTCGCCAGGATATTTTCTTGGGTCTGCTACTCTACTTTCTCATCCCATGCCATCTTCTCGCCGCCTACTTGATTGAACTGGCTGCTGCTCAGCAAGCGCGAGGATCTCTCAAACGTTACAACGATAGTGCTTCTGGAGGCCCTTCAGAGCAAGAGCGCAACAAGTTTCACAAAACTTGGGTCATTGTCGCATGGGCCCATCTCTTCAACATTACGCTTGCTCTTGTCCTCACAACATGGGTCGTATACTTCAAGATACACCATCCCCTTATCGGTACCTTGACTGAGATGCACGCCATTGCTGTTTGGCTCAAGACTGCATCATACGCTTTCACCAACCGCGACTTGAGACATGCTTACTTGCATCCTGTGGAAGGAGAGCTCGAGCTTGTCCCCGAGCTGTACACGCAATGCCCGTATCCTCAGAACATCACCTTTAGCAACCTGGCCTATTTCTGGTGGGCACCCACGCTCATCTACCAGCCTGTGTATCCTCGTACCGACAAAATCAGATGGGGTTTTGTGGCCAAGCGTGTTGGAGAGATCTTTGGTCTCAGTGTATTCATTTGGGTTGCGAGTGCCCAGTACGCTGCGCCTGTTCTTCGAAACTCACTCGACAAAATTGCCTCTCTCGACCTCATGTCCATTCTCGAGCGGTTGCTTAAGCTGTCAACCATCTCTTTGGCCATTTGGCTCGCTGGGTTCTTTGCGCTGTTCCAATCTTTCCTAAACGCTCTGGCCGAGGTTTTGAGATTCGGTGACCGATCATTCTATGACGACTGGTGGAACAGTGAGAGCTTGGGAGCCTACTGGCGCACGTGGAACAAGCCTGTTTACACATATTTCAAGCGCCATCTGTACATGCCCATGATCGGTCGTGGTTGGAGTCCTCAGGCGGCCAGCTTTTTCGTCTTTCTGGTATCGGCCATCCTTCACGAGATCCTCGTCGGTGTTCCTACGCACAACATCATTGGTAAGCATAATCTTGAACTTAAAACGTCATATATACTGACTCCTGCAGGTGTTGCTTTCCTGGGCATGTTTCTTCAGCTTCCACTGATTCACCTTACCAAGCCACTCGAAAACATGAAGCTGGGCCATACTGGTAAAATTGTTGGAAACACTATCTTCTGGGTGTCATTTACAATTTTCGGACAGCCTTTCGCAGCCTTGATGTACTTTTACGCATGGCAAGCAAAGTATGGCAGTGTGAGTAAGCAGATGACAGTAGTGTCAACTTGAAACATATATAGTGGATAGAGGTTTTAGTATATCTTAGTATTGTATAGCTAGCACATATAGTTTATTAGCTAAATGTTTGTTCAACGAAGCAGTATTGACAAAAACGAGACCAGTACATGTTGCATCTGATCAAGTTGTGTATAGACGTGACATTCCGATGGCATCTACTCGATAAAGGGAATCTTTGTTCCAACCTTCTTACGATACTCCACGTAGTCATCCTTGAAGAACTCGATCAGCTTAGCCTCCTCATGCTTGATTCTGATGTTGAAGAACTTCCAAAGAACAAAGGCATAGGCAAAGAAGCAAAGAACATTGCCCATGGCCAACTGTGTTCCTAGCCCCCAGTAGAAGAATCCAAAGTAGCTTGGATGGCGGAAGATGGAGTAGATGCCGGTAGTGATCAACTCGTGTGAGTCCTTCTTCCTCGTCTGGACATGATGGTTGAAGCTAGCCCCAGCGTGGAGCATTGCCACCGAGCGAACATACTGTCCAATAGTGACCATGAGAAGACCAGCAACTAGAAGTAGAGGCCCGGTACCAAAGGGTGCCCAGTTCCGCTCGGGGAAGATAATGTTGACGATGGCGCACTCGAGAAACGCAGCTGAATGGGCGATGGCATAGCCTGGCCAGTTCGCAGTCAAAAGAAAACTGCCAATACTAGCCACAAGTGTGTTCTTCTCAGCCGTGGTCCAAAACTCCAGGAAGTGAAAGGCTGATAGAGCAAAGAGGAAAAAGGGCACCCGCCAAGCAGGACTCGACGTCATGACCAGAATCGTCGTCATGGCAATACCACTGGAAGCCAAAGCGATACCCAGACAAAAGGCTCGCATGGCGATTCCAGAGAGTGACTTGGGCTCGCCCGCAAAGTAAGGCTTCAGGATCATGAGCTCATCCATAGAGCGCGAGTTGCTAGGAAAGGAGTCATGATGAGACGGCGCAGCTTGATGATGAGAAGCTGAAGGGCTAAAGTTGACGGGACGAGCGCCAGCGGGTTGAAATGATTCATCCATGTTCCTTTTTGATGAAAAGTCAGAGAATAATCTATACGATCTCATACTCATGAAGTCTTGTAGAGGGGAGTGATTGAAGTTTTATAGGGTAATTAGGAGAACAGGGGGAAAACATACTGTTTGCTGAAATGAGGGGCGCAGGAATAATAAATGGCAAGCAGTCGAACTTTCTGAGAACGGAAATAAAGAGACAAACAGTCAAATAATGAAAAGGCGTGTTGGCTCTCGATCCTTATGCGGCGTCTGCAGTTTTGGATTGTGAAGCAAAGAACAATATCAAGAGTTGGTCTTAGCTTGTGAGTTTGGAGTGTAGTATCCACATGAGCACTGTTTGACTATAGGGTGGGCAGAGGACCTAGTGAAGGTACCTCTAATCTCGGGGTACTTTGAGATGCTCTTGGGTCTGGAGTCGTTATTTGTGGTCACTTGCGAACGTACACAAATAACCACAAATAACTTAAAAAACAAGATAAAAGCCTCGTCTCATTTATATAGCCCAGAACGTCCATTTAAAGTAGTTTCTATATCATTTTATAGTTGCGTGGTTGTTTTGGCCTTCTCATCGCCGTGATTTGGAATCGCGAGGACTCGAACCCGTAAATGGAGGTATCTTTGCATCAAAGGTACCTCCAACTACTACTCTTATCGTCTAAACAAAGCGACAGCTGATACCCCTACAGTCGATTTCCAAAAGCTGCGTGATCACACGGACAGAGAAATATTTAATGATATGAGCCAGAGAATATGAGAGACATGTTGTATTTCTCCTTTGCGAATTGTATAGTGCTGTTTCTACATGCTGTATAGTGATCATATGTGATGACCAAAATCCAACCACAGAGAATCTTGATACAAGTTGTTGGAAACAGAATAAGTAACGTTTAAATGGGGGAGTACAAATAAATAGCTTAGAAGAAAAAAAAGAGGAGAGTCTTGTCTTACTTATCTTGCTCGAGGCATCTATCTGAGGTAGCTTTTACCTAGTTTTATGGAATTACCAGTGTTTTTAACAGAAGAATTGTTAAAACTGATGCCAACAACACAAGCTGATGCCCAGAAAACTTGCAAGGAATTCCAAGTCCAGTATCAGAAGTTGACCTTGAAGAGTTAGGCTACAAAAACAAATAGTTAAAGAAGTATGGTTTAAGTAGTAGAAACTGGTCTACTGATTTTGTCTTTTATGTCTTTAGCATCTAACTTTTCTGGTACCCTCACGTAATGATGGTAGGCTGAGCGTTCATCTTTGTTGTAGCCGAAGAAGGACTAGAAAATGATGTTAGTAAAGCTTTGTTAATAGAGGTTAAAAAACTTGCCAGAGTTCCCAAGATGGCACCAGGCCATAGTAGGATATCTATCCATTTCTGTTCATTGTTATCTGGAGAGTTAGTTATAAAATGTTTTTAAACAATAGGATATCTTACACTTTTTGTGATTGGCAATAAGTTTTTCGTTATTGGCCATAAATTCTTCGTTGGTGACAACACGTTTGTTGGCTTCAGAGACGAATTTATGAAGTTCCGGGTTTGATCGCTGCATAGCTCTGGGCAGTGGTGGTAGAGGAGTAAGAACTGTTATACGACTTGGTTGCCGGAACAAGTTGCGGGTACTTGAGGAGATGCGATGTGCTGCCTCGACAAGGAAATACCTTGAGCCCATCCTTGATGTTTGGTTGATGTTTGATTGATGCTTGGTTGATGGTTCGTGATTGTGTCTGATCTGTTGAGCAGTGCTTATATATTTTGTGAGAATATGGTTGCTCCTTGGGTTCTATCTTTTGTGACTCAGAGAGCGAGGGGAAAAGCTAGTATTGAACTTTAGGAATCGCTAGAAACCACCCAATGTCTAATCTGTGATCATGGTGTTTGGTTGAAGTCAAGTGGAGGAAGAGTTCGAAGTTATGGTAAATCAGGGTATATTCCAAACAACGCTATACGCCGGTCCCAATATGTCTGTATAATGGTCTAGTCTCGGCGGCCTTTCCTTTGTCGCGTATCGCTATTCGATATTCGATAGTATATGCGTATGGTCTTCCTCGAAGCCATCATCCTGCCACCAGCTGTTGTCTTGGGCTATTAAAACGCACGATTCTCAATGGTACCAGGGGATCCTCAAAGTAACAAGTGATATCTCTAAAGTCCGCCTTGTATAGAGAAAGAAGAAATGATAAGAACCAGTACGTTGATAAAACCCCAGGTACATGGAATCCAAGTATTCATTTCGTAGTATCCTGCGGAGTAGACGGCGCCCAATCTTCTACATGGTTAGCACAAGAAGAGTCCCAAAGAACAGATACTAACACTAAGCCAACGATACTCCCAGCCATAACTGCCTCAAGCCCAGCTATAACAAGATATATCACAGGTACTGCCCATAGGTACCGCCATGATGACTTCTTCCAGCCATGGGTGAACATGGCAATCAGGACTGCTCCCATGTGGAAACACGCGTATATGATAAGAGTCCATAGTAAGGTAAATCGCCAAACGTCGAGGACATAATAAAGGGTGTATCGTTTGTCTGTGGTTTGGTCGTATAAAGTTTGGACGTTTAGAGATGGGAAGCGCGGTGTTTCGTAATCCTCGGGAGGTGTATTTGGAAGTGCCATCTATATTAGAATAGTTAGAATTAGTGGTCAAGACAGGGACTGACTGGGCTGAACATACCGTGCCATCGTGTAGGCCGCAATAGCTGTGCTAATGTAGAAACTATTGCGATGTCGCGAGGACTGATTATGATTATGGGGCCAGTTGATTTGGCGGCGACAGGGGACAGGGATGTTCTGATGGAGCTGAGTTAGAGCTGGAGAAGTCCCCCGGAACGTCATGCGCAGGGCCTCGGCAAAAGCCCGTGAAACCGACCGGCAGGCGCAACCGCAATCGCGACCTCGGATCCTCAACTTGAGCTTCACCCAAACCACCCCAAACCCATCCATCCAATCTTTATCATATCGACGATAACTTGGGTTTGGAAAGATCACCGAATGCGTCGATATGTCTACCGATAGACTCCTCAGAACAGTCTTGCAGCTTTACCAAGACGTCCACGATGCTGCCAAGACGGAACAGATCATCGGCTCGACGACACACCTCCTCGTTGAGCTCACCAATCCTCTAAATCTCGGCCTTCTCACGTCACAATTGTTGACAGCCCCAGCGGTATGGTTCCAACCGGGCGGAATTCGGACTTCTGTTCGGGTTATAAGCATATACAACACTGCGGCCGCGCGCATTCACAACTATGAAGTCGCCAATCGCGATCGGAAAGAACCCCATGAGGGTAGTGGCATGCAATGCGAAGAATGGGCGCGCGCTGTTGTCAAGGGAGCGGACGAGCGATCGAAACGATGGCAACACCTTTTGGTTCTGACCGGCGTTCTCATGGGCATGGAATCCGATAATCGCCAATCTTTGTCGCGTGGAATGAGGAATACCCTTGAGGAGGCAGTAGTCATGGCAGCAAACATGGCACTCGAGAGACGCGAAGAGGATGGGCCTGTCGCAGGCGCATCGATAGTTATGGCCTTGAACTTTGCCTTCCCCTTACTATCCGATTACCACAGGAGTCTTATCAACTGTAACGCGCTGCTGCCCTTGATTGTATGGACAGTTACTGCCGAGGAGGGCCTCGCCCATGGCCAATTCCTGACGCCGATAAGCGCCGAAACTATTGAATCGCCGGACCATCTCCTTGCTTGGTCACCGAATACACCATCGTTCCGATTCATCCAGGAACTGGACAGACGGCCTACGTTGGCGAACATGGGTCCGCTAGCCAAACTTGCTGGTTACGCTGTTATGCAAGCGACAGATACGCAGGCAGTGATCGCAGCGCAGGATGCCCTTGTTGCTTTTAGCAACAATGTACTGGATATCTGGCGACTAAACCGCTTGAGTGATGTCGACCCAGCACTGGAGGGCAACGTTCTCACTCAGGAGACCCTTACAAGCACCTGGCCAGTCCTATGGAACCTACTCAGGAAGCTCATGTTTGGGACCGTCGCTATTCTACAAGCAGTTGTCTCAAGAAGTCTCCTTGACCCGCAAATGCTCAACGATATGGCTGCTCCTATTATCGCAGCAAAGTCCCTGCGCATATTGCGCAACATCTTTTTCATCTCTTCAAGAAACGGCAACAGCGCGTTTCAGGTTTATAATTTCACATACTTGACTTCAATCGACTCCATCTCTCGAAGCGCCCCTGCTTGCCAAATGTTTCTTCAGGAGTTCCGGCCATCAGAGGATGCATCGACATCTACCACCTATCTGCAAAGATCATTGGACTTATTCTATCTCAACCTCTCTGAACATTTACCACTCACTCTATCAACCGACGCCTGCGATAATCTCATAATAAAGCCAGCGATCGCATATATTTCTCACGAAGGACCGACAACACCAAATATGGTCGAGATCTTCGAATCTGCACACAGCACGATTCTCTCAACCATTTCTTGTCCCCAGCATAGTCCTCTCACCATCGAACTTACACCATTTTACATCGCTCTGCTCTTCAATGCATTCCCAAGACACATCTCATCTCGTCAGTTTCGAGTGGCTTTCAAGACTGTTATGCAGATCGTGTCGCCTCCATTCCCAATTGCAGAGTTGGAGCCGTTCCTTTCGGAGACTTTGTTGGAGATGCTCCGAGCTTCTATATCGACAGCGTCGACAGAACCTCTCCCACCAACTGCAGATATTGCGGCGCAAGCGGCGATGGAGGAGTCACAAGAAGTACGCTTTTCTCAACAAAGTTCTCTCTCGTTAGCTCTAGTGGATTCTCTTCCACATCTTCCACTTCCTTTGTTGGAAGAATGGTTTACAATTGCTGCTCAAGCCATGAATGAGATTCAAGACCCTGCACTACGAGAACCTGTCAAGGAACGGTTCTTGGAGATTCTTGTTAGTGGAGAGTTGGACGTGGAGCGAGCAGCCATCGGAGTAGCTTGGTGGGGAACCCGAGGAGGCCGAGAGCTCGTTCTTGGTGCGAGCGCGGAACCTCCCATGATGAGTGGTGCACTTCCTGGACCTGAACGAACTAGCCGATTGTGATGATGGCACACATGGGCATGCCTTGCATGGTCCTAGACAATGTTTTGAACTTGGTATGGCCGCCAACACTTTCTGGCTACAGGACGCAAAAGATGATTGTCTCACGTTACTTCAAAGTTCAAAGTAACTCAAACGGCACTTATGAGAATGTAATTGCGTCTTGGAATGGAGATATTGTTGGATGATCCAAGCGGTCTCAAATCTGTTGGATTGGTCACCTGGGCATCTTTAAAACCCCGCGGCGGGCAAATGGACGCCGGGTTGGTTGCCATGAGCCCGTTACATTTGTGTCATTTGTGCTTGATTTCCTAGCCTCAATAGGCTGTGCGTATTTGAAGCAGATCGAGATTTGACCGGAAATTGTACGTCTCTGCATTGGAAAGAGCCGGACACGCCGAACCGCCGTACTATGCTGGTTTGCTGAGGACTGGCAAATGCCACACGTGCAGACATCAAGTCCTCGACAGGGCACGAAGTGGTCTAGAACTTGACTTAGCTTGGAAGCGCATGGTGTGGTGGTCAGAGACTGGGGACGTACCGTTTTCCTAGACATCTACGCCGGGACAAATATAGAAGTTGAGCGTTATACCCGCATATTATAAGTTATTACGATCTTAATATATATCGAAATCTGGGAATTGACACTTCAAGATCAAGGAACCGTCTACAGAAGCCAAGAATTGCCTCACTGAATAGCCAGGGTGATAAGGGTCTTCAGGTGAAGCGGGGTTGTCATCGTCACTGTCCATGTCAAGCACCCAAAACATGGACATGAGCTGTTCTAGAACTTGAAGTTGAGCGGGGAGTTAAGACAAGGTTGCTAGGGCCCGATTCCGAGCACGATCTTGACTTAAACCCCGGCTTGGCAAAGGAGGGAGATGCGACTCGTACAATCCGATCTCTCTCCAATGCCGCCTTCCTCTGGTGGGTGTCCACTTGAGCTTCGGCTTGTAAAAGCATGTGGGCACAGTTGACGCTGCCCGGCATTCTTCAGTCTTGATCCGGACTCTTCTGAGGAATTGATAGACCGCAATTTGAAGAGCGACAGACACCAATAGCTTGTCTTGTTAGTCTACTATCTACAATGTACAGAGCCGTTCCCGCTGGAAGCTGGCATAGCCACAGTCGTGGAGCTCCAGGTCAGCTCGTCCAGGTTCGGACCTGATTTTGGACCCTGTCAAGCTGGGCCGCGGGGTTCCTTTGATTGCTTGTTTAGTTTAGCGTTGTCCAGGTAGCTCAGGTAGATCAACGACTTGGGGTACGTACCTCGACCCTGAGCTATCCTTATCCTGTCTCATCACAACCAACAAACATGACGACACCAGGCCAATACAGGCCAAAGCGAGACAGACCGAGACGTCGTGGTTGGCCCAATTGCTTACAGGGGAGGCCGATTCGTGGGAATGTGGCATGGCTACTGTACTGAGAAATGCACAAACAACAGGTTTTTGATCCAAAAGCATGTATTCAAACATGAAGGATAGAGGGGTTGCTGGAACATGCATGGAGGGGTATTGAGAGGGCCCAAGTATCGTTCCTGGTATCTATGTACATCCACTGAAAGCTTGTTCCAAGTATCTGTATAACCGCCCACGTTACATTGATCTCCAAGAATTCGATCAACAGCTTCTGGTATCCAAGTCTAAACTTAGAACGTCCAGGAAGATGCTGTATACATGGGACGACAATGACAGTAAGTAACTCAAGTCAACGCGCGTTCTCTGTGGGACGAGGTCTCAGAGAAGTTCGACTCCATAGAGGGTCTCACAGCTTGATGGAGTAAAGGTACGTATGGATACTTCCAAGCATGGACCTCTTTGAGCTAGAACATCTGCTAGGCTACCTTAGCTGGGCAGCTTTAGCTATCCAAGACAATGTCCATGCCACAATGGAATAGCGAGTGGCACGTCATTCCCTCTCATAATGAGGGGGAGGGGGACGGAGCTTGATCCACATGATGAAGCTGGAGCTAGAGAGGGAGGAAGCTTCGCTCAGATATTAAACTGAAGCTATGCCCTCTTCTGTTCATGTCATTCTCATTCATACCACTCACACTATCTCTTCAACAACTATTTCATAAACTCAATTCCCAATCAACATCATGTCTGACAGCTACGGAGGCAACGACAGCTACGTGAGTTCTCATCTGTCTATGTCCTGCTTGTCATGAAAACTAACCGTTTCATCAGGGCTCCAGCCGTCGCGACAATGATAACGACAACTCCTACGGCTCCAGCCGCCGTGACAATGATAACGACAACTCCTACGGCTCTGGCAACAACGACAGCTACGTATGTATTCATGTGCCCAACTCACTTAAACCTGAGCTCACAAAGTATTGTAGGGTTCCAGCCGTCGTGACGACGACAACGACAACTCCTACGGCTCCTCTCGCCGTGACAACAACGAGAGCTCGTACGGATCTGGCAACACTGGTATTGGTGGCAACGCCAGCTATGTAAGTCAATAACAAGCTTCATCTTTCTTCAGGTATACTAATAAGTTTCAGGGCTCATCCGACAGAGACAACAACGACAGCTACGGCTCCAGCAACAAGGACTCCTACGGCTCCAGCAACAAGGACTCCTACGGCTCCAGCAACAAGGACTCCTACGGCTCCAGCCGCAACGACAACGACAACTCCTATGGCTCTGGCACCGGCGCTGGCGCTGGCCTCGGAGGTGGAAACACCACCTATGTAGGTCGACCCTTACGTATGACGGATCGTTCATGGCTAATAGTAATACTAGGGCTCTCGTGACAACGACAATGACAACAGCTTTGGCTCTAGCCGTCGGGACAATGACAACGACAACTCTTACGGCTCTAGCAACCGTGACAACAACGACTCCTATGGCTCCAGCAACACATACGGCTCTTCCGGTAACAATGACTCCTACGGCTCCAGCCGCAAGGACAACGACTCGTTTGGAACTGGCAACACATATGGCTCTTCCAGTGGTAACACATACGACTCCGAACGTGTTAAAAACGACGACGGTTCTTACGGACAGAGTAACCCTGCCTACGGTGACGATGACAACAACAAGAAGTCTGGTGGCTTCATGGACAAGATCAAGGACAAGGTTGAGGAGAAGGTCAAGGGACACAAGAACCGTGACGATAACGACTACTAATTGTAATATGGGGGGTCGGGCTCTAGTGTATTAGTTGACAATAGTTGAGTGAGATGAGATATTCCTTGCTCTTGAATTGAAGTTTCTTTTGTTTCGACATCTTTGTCTGAAGATAAGTGAGTCGCATATGAACGGAGCCTTGTATAAGGCATTCATGCATCGCATCTATGTGAATAAATCTGAAGTATTTTTTCTGATCTCGGTCATGCTCGTTGCCGTTTATGAGTAGCTGTTCTCAATTTGAAAGAATCTTGTCCTATGTAAGATCATTCTCATGGTGTATATGTGAAATAAGATAGGCAATTATTTCATCATGCCTCAAATGACATTAGCTACTCCAACCTCTTATCAACCTTGATCAAAATCGCTCCATCAGTAAGACGCCCCTCACAATCCATAAGATGCACAAATCGGTATCCGTGACCCAGACGATCAACTCTCATACAAGCCCAAGCCGCCATGTCATCCCGCCCAATCTCATCGTCACGAACAGTAAAGCGCACCCATGACAGCTCATCCACAACATGTGGAATTGGAGGAAACTCAAGGGGCTCACTACCAAAATCGACAATGTCACCCTTTTTCGTACTCGTGCGAGCTTTGTACTCGCCCTCACGCTCGTGACCATCGTTGGGGATGGGACCGCCATGGAACTCATCAGGACCCTCGACGTGAAGCTCGACTTTAACGTAAGGCTCAAAACCGCGGGTGGACTTGTCACCGGGAGGAAGAGGAATGTTTTGCGCGGCGAGGACGGTGATTGTGAGATGGAGGGTTTTGCGGGGGATGATGTTGGAAACCTCTTCGTCATTGCGGTTGAATCGGTAGCCTAGAACAAGTTAGAATATGAATATTTATGCAGGTAAATGGTGATGTACCTGGTGGCTTGAGGACATATCCTCCTGTGCCCGCAAACATGCCCTCGTTAAGCATCATGCCCTCATCCCACCTCTGCCAATTGAGGGCAACGACCTGAATGCCCTTTCTCCAGAAAAGAGAAGGGTCCAGGTTTGAAGACCCTATTCGCAGTCCCCAAGGATAGGTTCTCATGAGAAAGTGTCGGTTATGGTTGAACAACTCGTCTGCCTGTTCGTCGTGTACAGCAATGACCTTCTTCTCTGAGAGGGAGAAGATATGTGTAGGCATACCAGCCTCAGGCTGCGACAAGCTCTTGAACGATACACCCCGACAATTGGAACCCATCTTGCTGAGTTCCTGAATGACCTTGGGAGGCTTCTTCTTAGGAGGATCGCCCGACTCAGCACCTGGATGCGGTGCTCGATCGTCTTCCTCACTTTCCTCCTGTGTAGGGTCTGTATCAGGCGGCGCATACTTGACTTTGACGATGAGTTTATGGCGTAACTCGTCAGGGCTTGGGAGATTCTCCGGGTCGCTCTCGGGCTCAGGTAGAAGACCCTCCCAGACTTGCTTCATGATGCGTACCATGGCGAGCTGCTGGTCTGCACTACAGTGAACTTCCAAAGAGACAATGACGGGCAGATCGCTAACGACAAATGCGCTATCACGGATAGCCTCACAGACAGCGCGGAAAGAGATCTCCTTGGTGAGGGTGTATCCGTGGAGGACTCGGGGCTCGACTATAGCGGCTTCGGGCTCGGTGGACTCAGGATTGGCGGTGGTGGCTACGGCCCCGGGCTGCTCACGGGAGACGGGATCGGTAGTGGAGGTAGACTCCTTCTTATCACTTATGGCCGTCTTCTTGAGCTTATCCTTGAGCTTCCCAAAAGTGCTCCTCTTCTTCCTGACGACTCTCTTGACACCTCTTTCTTCATCGCTGCTGGAGGGGCTGCTTGTCCCCTCTGGCTCAGATTCATCTCCATCCCAGACATCAATCTCAATGCACCGTCCACCACGCAGCAGAGTTTCGGTGTAAGGTTTGGTAGAACTGTCGCTCGAGAGTTGGTTCCCGGTGAGGTACGTGTTATGGCTGGAGCTGATAAAGTAAGAAGCAAGCGGATATGTGAGATCTTGGGCTTTGGGCGGGGTTGTAGCAGCTGCATGAGACGACGTCATCCAGGCTATGAAGCCATCCAGATCGAGCGAGTCTCGGGCAAGAAGCTCGTCAACAGCGGGTGAAGGCTCATATTTTTGCGTATCTTTGATGAAGGAAGAAATACGTTCTTTACTCCAAGTGTTGTCTGCTCGATCTGCCAGATATCCAAAGAGCTTGACAAGATGACCTGTGACGACAGGGTCAAGTTTGGAGATGGAGCGGGTGACTTCGCTGGCGCCGCCTCCAGCTTTGAGTTCTTGGGCCATGGTTTGTTGATCGATACTGTTCTTGTGGTGTTTTTGACGCCTTTCGGTCTTTGAAGAAGTTAAAGAGCGGAGAGAACGGAGAAAGGAGAGGGCGACCAAGTGATGTTGAATTCGTGAGGTTATTCGCTGCTTGGCTGTGCCTGTGCCTGTGCTGGCGTCTGCAACTACGAGCCCCTCCTGCATGTTCTGGACCTCTAAGGGACGCTACTGTTGATCAGAGAAGCAGGATTTCCAAGAGATAGCAATTAACTATGTGTCTTATATACTGTTGACAGCCTCACATGCTTGTATTCACTAAATCACTACCGACAAGGACGTTCCTTTTCCCTCCTCATCTTAATCACATCGTCTCACTCTTCAAAGGTCAAAGCTCAAGCTCAAGGTAAGCTCCCGTAGGTCACGACAGCTTCAGCGCCTGACCCGCTGAAAAAGACCCTGGAACGAGCCCCTGGGTCTGGCTCCACTGACAACAAAGCCTGAAGCTCGGCATGACGAGGTTGTACAGAGACATGCACTGTAATAGGTGTGCAGATTACTTGGCTGACATGCTTAAGCAGGCTGAATGACCATGAGTGCAGCAAGCTAAAGAAAACCTGTACTATGCAGTGATGAGTCGCTGCAGATATGTAAACAGTACATATGTGCAGTATAAGCATGCTATTTTTAGATACCCGCAAAAGAAAACCTTATTCAGTTTCAGGATCCACGTCAAAGTCCAAATCTATTCAATGTACTCCTTTTCCAGTAAGCACAAGACTTCACCGTCTGCTCTTCTCTGCCTTCCCTGCCTTCCTCTCAACTCTTCTCTCTTCCAAGAACTCCTCCAGATCAACATGTACCCTCAACCCCTTGGACGCCATAGTCTCAAAGACTCCCTTCAGCTCGGAAGAATCCATATCCCGGTTTAGAGTAAGGAAAGCCTCCATCATGACATCCTTGGACCAAGGACAATGCCTCAATGCCCTGAACAGAATATCCTTGGTTTTGGGTCGCAGTTCTCTCTGTGAGCTGCAGAACCTGATGAAGTTAATCCACAAAACTGTATTGAATTTGCAAGCATCGCTTGATACGGCGTGCTCGAAAGCTGCTTTTGTTGTGTTGACGTTTCCACGCTCAATCTCATGATGAATGGCAAATATGCGACTGCTTAAGCAATCTTGGGCTGGGGTAAGTACGGTTTCGTGTAGAAGTGTTCTTGTTTCGTCAATAATACGAAGGCCGGAGTCAGCCCATTCGAATAACGACAAGAACATGGTGTTCCTAGGAAAATACGCCAGAAAATGTTTCAGTTGCTCGAGTAGATACACACGGCGGAAGGGCCTGTATGAGTTAGTAAATTCTTGACAGTTCCAAGACATGAATCTTACCCTCGGGCTGCGTGCATGTACAGCAACATCGACGCAAACTGCAGTATACGCTCGTGGGCTTGTGATGTATGGTGATTTCGAGATTTCAACTCGAGAGACACCTTGTTGACTGTGTCCATAGCAGCCGAAATGCTTCCTTGAGACGCCGACATTGGTTCTGTAGACCCCTCCGCGGTCAAATAAGACAACAGGACCAAACACTCGGCAAGGACTTCAGCCTGGTCGATATTTCCTCCTGATATCATATCATTCATGGTAGAAGTAAAGATTTGGTGGGCTTTGAGAATATGTGTTGGGGAGACATCGGGTGTTCCGACCGATTTTCGTAGGACCTCGTCCACGGCAGAGCAGAGTCTGTGAACAGCAAGATCTTTGTTACCCTCTTCAAGCTCCATCCAAGCCCATGTCCTCCAAAGGCTAAACGAGTCGGCTGCAGACGAGTTCTGTAGTAAAGTGTTAGTGACAATCCAGTTCAAATAGTAGTAGACTGAGTACTCACCGACGCAAGTTCAGTTGCTGACGAAACCACTTTTTGAGCAACTTCGCGGTTCCCATTCGCACACTCAGCAAGAGCATATGCCTTATATAGGCCAAGATGAGTTGAATATCGCTTCAGCAAAGCTTTGGCTGCCCTTTTAACAGAGGAGGGATCTTGTGCTGCGCATAAAGCAAGATGGTACACAGCCAAATCCTTCAGGTTTGCATTGTGAACCAAATGTTTTGTTGCGTTAGCCAGGAAGCCGAGTTCAACATCGTTTTCTGTGCTCGTCGACAGCAGATAAGAAAACCAGTCTTGTCCTGACAAGAGCACTTCAGGTGATTCGGAGACGCAGAGAGGCCTCTGATCGAAAGCAGGAGGCTTTCTCTGTATTTCTGTCGGATCTTCGTCCCCTGAAAGTGGCGTAGGAGCAGTGGACTCCAGCTGCAAGGTCGGTCGAGAAAGGAATTGATCGTGGTAGGCCTCTTCCGTCCAGCTGCTAGACTGAAAAACAGGAGGAGCCCCAAGGAACATCAAGAAAGCATCCAACAATTGCTCCTGTACAGCTGGTAAAACATGCCTTGGGACTATGAAAAGCAATGGCTCCATGTCCGAGAACATTACTACCCTGAAAGGATCTTCTTCTGTCCCCTCATCCATGGTTCTTGCTGGGACTCTTGCTTTATCAGCATGCGAGCTCTCCAAACTCGCCCAGCGTTTATAGTCATCTCTGGACTGGTCCTGAGGCAGCTTGGTATCTCGTAGAGGCTCAGGGGCATCACCCATTCCATCATCCTCCACAAATTTTGCCCAGCCTTGAGCCTCTTGTTCTCCTATTCTAGGGACTTCACTCTCCCAGAAGTCACGAAGAGACTCAAGAGCTGCACTTTGATCTTCCAACTGGGAAGGTCGGAAAAAGTTGAGTTCCATGAACGCTTGCCATGCTGCGACAGCAAGTTCCTTGTACCCACAATCATGTATGAGTCTCGTGAGTCTGAGAAAAACGTAGATAGCTTCCATATAACCCTCAAACTCCTCGTTCGATTGTGATCGAGATATAGCGAGATGCAGTCGATCGAGGTGCATTTGCTTGAGAGTATCAAAGTGAAAAGAAGAAATGTTGGACATGTCAAAATCGAGATGTGTCTTCCAGAGCGTGAAGCTTTTGTCTTCATCTTCACGTAAGTCATTCCACTTTTTGGCCGTTGCTTTACTGTTCCACACCTTGATTCCTTCACGCATTAGTGGGATCAACACTCTGATGCGATCTTTAGGATCCGCAACATTGGACAAAGCCGATTCGAGCATATGAAGTTTGATCTCAGCAAAACTATGCACTTCGGCCTCCAGTGCCTTATGGTCAACGTCTTCTCCAGCTCTCAGAAGGGCATCTTGATGGTTAGCCAACTCAAGCCATGCATCTATATCATTTGGCTGATCCTTCACTCGCCTTGAGAGTTGTATTGATTTCCACTTTAAGGGGTTGTTCTGGCCAAGGTCGACATGCTCTGCAGGTGTCCCGATATCAGACTCCAAGTCACTATCATCGTATTGGCGTGGCTTTGCTTTGCCCTCTATTGAACGATAGGATGGTTGTTCGTCGTCTGACGATTCGGAAGCATCATCGTTATGCTTGCGCTTTTTCGTCGAACCCACTGCTATGAAGCCACCGTCGTCTTCGTCCTGCGCAGAACTCTCTTGCAACCGGACTCTCAACGGTGTTGACCTTATGCGCCAAGCTTTTGAGCGTAGACCGTCCTTGTCCTTGAAGGCATATGAGCCTTCGCCTGGCATTCGCAGACTAAACTGGTCCCTGGGTCCATCGCGATGAATCAAAAGACGACCTCGCGTCCCGAGAACCTTTCCATATCCATCGCGATAGTAAGCGGGGACCTGCGAACGGTCAAGACTTCCATATCGAATGATTAGTGGGTCGCCCTTGGTGTCGATAATATACAGACGCGATGCGCCGTCATTGCTGTCGCGTGAAGATTTAGTAAGCGCACGGTGTTCAGGTTTCTCTGAGTGGCTGGATCGTCGTGAGCTTTCCCGATGTCGGTGATGAGATTCCGTGCGATGCCTCTTGGAATGGTGATGATGATGCTCGCGATGTGAGTCTGAGTGATGATGGCTTCTCTTCCTTCGTGAGTCGCGTTCCCGGTCTCGTTCCCGGTCCGTCTCTTTATGGCTGAAGCTTTCTTCCGTAGCCTTTCCTGTATCCTTGGGCTTAAAAGAGGTGAATTTGGGTGCTTTCAGTTCAGAACTCTCAGGTTTGGACTTGAATGATGAGAACTTGGGTACTGTAAGCTTGGAATCCTTATCCTTGCTGGACATTGTGGTGATTATTGCAGACTTTTTGTCATAGCCCAGGTAACATGACTACAGGCTCGCCTTGGGTTTAAAGAATTTCGATAACTATAATTGCTTCTGATTTGGAATGCGACGATGAAATATTGAAGAATAAAGGTATCGGTACCTTGTAAGTTGATTTGAGGTAGGAACAAGAGAACAGCCTCGATCACTAGCCACACGTCAAAGACAGTGTCAAAACAATATTCTAACTGTGTAACCGCAATGGTATCAACTTCCAAATCATCAACGAGCATCTGACGTGTGAAAGCCCCTGAATTTACTCTTACAGTCGTATATACCTGACGGTACTAGCGAGAGCTGAAGTTATGTAGCATTGAAAAACACTGCTTTTTCGTTCGCTGGTCAGCACTTGGCCAGGACAAGGCAGTAAGCCAAGGGCAACAGCACACCATCTCATTCAATTGCCGTTATATCAGTCGATGGATATGTTGCCCAATTATCACTTGACATGTAGACTCGCTTCTTGCAACCCGAATAGCGAAACAACAAAACATAATTGAATCAAGTCATGTAATTGAAGTCCAGTCTGGATCCCTAAAGGTCTAATTGCTGGCACTGTGGGGCCAACTAAACTTCGGGGACCTGGACACTGTAAATTGCTGGATAACATAAGATCCTTAAACTCCTAGCTCTGCCCCTCTACCATATATTGAGGCCCCTTCTCCCACAATGGACGTCTCTTTGAAAGCAACTGCTGCTTACATTGCCATTTCTATGGCGTCTCTCATTGTCGGTAACACCATCATGGGTTTCTTTGGCAACAACAAGTTCCCCGTTGAGGGCAAGGTAAGCTTCTCTTCAACTCCTCATGACACCTCTCATGATTACCTCATACGCAACAGTATAGCTAACAATGCCTCTAGACAGTCCTCATCACCGGTGCTTCCGAGGGTATGGGTCTCAGTGCAGCTACCCAGCTCTCCGCCAAGGGTGCAAATGTCGTTCTCGTGTCTCGTAGCAAGGCCAAGCTCGAAGCCGCTCTTGTTACCGTCAAGGTCCATCACCTTTACCACGTCTTCCGCTAGACTACATGCTGACTTGTTGACCCCAGGCTGCAGCTAAGAATCCCGAAACACAACGCTTCCACTACATCACCGCCGACGTCTCTGCCGAATCCTACGCCAAACCTCTCCTCGAAGAAGTTATCAGCTGGAATAATGGAAACGCCCCCGATATCGTTTGGACTTGCGCCGGACTGTCCTTCCCCGAATTGTTTGTCGACATGGAGATGAAGTCAATGCGACACCATATGGATGTCAACTACTGGGGTACAGCTGAGATGGCACATGCCATCATGCGCGAGTGGCTCGAAGTCTCCAAGCCTGTTGAGAAGGAAGCCAAGCACCTTATTATGACTGGAAGTATTTGCGCCTCCTACTCCCCTCCCGGATACACCCCGTACACTCCCTCCAAGTATGCTATGCGAGGTCTGGCCGAGTGCATCCAGCAGGAAGTGCTCCTTTACCCCCAAAACGTCCAAGTCCATCTACTTTTGCCCGGTACTATCCTCTCGCCCGGTAACGTCCGCGAGAACGAGGGCAAGCCTGAAATCACAAAGATCATCGAGAAGGACGACCCGAAGCAAACACCTGAAGAGGTTGCTGCTCTGTCCATCAAGGGTCTTGAAGCTGGACAGCACATTATTACAGTCAACTTCCTTGGTCATCTTATGAAGTGGGCATCCTTTGGCGGCAGTCCCAAGAACAGCTTTCTCGATATCTTGGGTGCTTTCCTTGCTACATTCGTCTGGATCTTTGTTCGGCCCATCTTGGATTGGCAAATCAGGGGCCACGGCAAAAAGCATGGTCACCCTAGCCTGTACAAGAAGGCTCCAGGCGCTTGATGATGTGCATCCATTTGCTACAAGTTGGAAGTAATTATAAAGATACCCAGTGTAATAATAATCAAACTTGCTATTCCTTTCCAATGACTTTTTATGTGGTATCTATCAACGTCTATAATCCCCGTCTATACTCCGCTCCATTTACCAAACTTGGTGTATCTCTTGTACATCTCCTTCAGAATGGCACGTCCACTCTTATCCATAGCATCGTTCAGAATCTTTCGCACCTCGGGAGGTGTAACATCGAAGATAGAGTTCATGGCGGGCTCGAGAGCCTCGTTCACCCGGCGCGGCACATCAGCCTCGAGCTGCAGCTTGACATACTGCATCATGATCAGATACATGTGTCTTCCAGCCGAACGCTTTGCAGCATCTGTGGCCGAATCCAGAGAGCTCTGGTGTTGTGATCGGGCCACAGCGCCAGCTGTCGGCTCACAAATGAGTGTGATAAGACGAGCATAAAGGTGAGCCTTGGACTCGTGCAAAGTTTGTCCCAAGGTGTCAGTGGCGCTGTGATTAATGACAAGATTGCGGAGGAGAGCCTGTATTGTTGACAGCAGAAGGTGGTGGTGACCTTCGAGCCTGAGGCGGTGCTTCTTGATAATGATTTCTACCAACCCGCATAGCGAAGCGAAAGGTACCCTCTCGTTGGGCACCTGCTCATCAAGCAGCTTGGTAGACAGGCTCAGGTCGGAAACAGTGGTGAGAACAAGCTCAATGTTCCATTGAGTCATGGATTGAGGCTTCTTTTCGAGGATGGCGCGGAGAATTCGGCATACGCGGGTGCATACGAATTGTCCCTTGAGTGTCAAAAGCGTCGCGGTCAGCTCGCTGTGAGCCGTTGCTAGGTCGAACTCGGATCCCTTGGTTTGGAGATCAGAAGATGCTGTGATGTGTTAGTTAACGAAACTTTATAACTGTTAGTTTGCTTACCTAGAAGCTGGTCCACGACGGTATGGATAGCTGACGCCTGACCATCCGTGTTCGAGCCTTGCACGAAAGCTTGAATGAGATCCTTCAAGTAATCCATCCTGGCGGAAGTATCCATTGGCTTTATGATTGATACAACGTTGCTCTTGAAGAACGGCTCGCGAAGTTTTCGAGGGACTTGGCTGAGACTGTAGAATGTTGTTGGTCGGGGTTCCTCCAGAAGTGGTGTAAAGAATGTTCTGAGAAACGTTTCCATCTTCCATCCTCTTAGATCTCCCGATTCCATGGCCGCGTGGCTTCGCTTCTCTGCCTTGCGTACGTCTGATTGCTTCGGCTTCGTAGCTCCCGAGAGACTATCCAGAGACTCTGCTGCGTCCACTGCTGCAAAAAGTCGAAGGTCAGCAATGACATTATGACTCTCGAATGCCTTCTTTTCCGTCAAAAAGTACCCAGTCGCAGCAATCACGCACTTTCCAAGTGCATTCTTGGCGATGTCTGGAAGCGAACTCAATTCAGGATGACTGGAGCAGTTGGGTGACTTGGAGATTTCGTCGATGAGTGCCTTCAGCAGTGTCAGACGGAAAGGTGACAAATCTCCGGCGTCTTCACAGTCGGAAATAAAACTGCGACTTTCGCTCAAGTACTTTACACTACGTTCTTCCACGTGCTCTGCCATCTGGCGGATAGTAGTTGCTGCCATGGCATAGTATGCGTCAATAAGGTCGGTCAGAGTGCCGTCTTGTGTTGGCGTTGAGCTTGAGAGATTCGACATGGCATCAGCGACTTCGGCCAAGTGTGAGAACTGCATGCCCTCGTAGAATGTTGCTCGACTCATCAACTTGGTGGATAGAGCAAGTATATATCTCCAGCCCTCAATGGACACACGCTTTGTCGTCTTCGATCGGTGCGCATGGAGTAGTGTCATGACACGCTCTCGTTGGGATCGGCTGAAGGCATCTGTATGAGCACTGTTTAAGCTTCTGATCCAGGTCTGGCTGCTTTCCGCAGGCCAGTGCTTCTCCTTTCCGTCCTCTTCCAGCGAATTGATTAAACGGTCAATGAGGTTACCAGCAACTTTAGCACTGTTCATGCTATTCTCATTCTCGAGCAGACAAGCCCATATGTCTCTCAATTGCGTGACCTGGCTACTAGGGAGTGATAATGCGTTTTCCAAGGCTTGAGGAAGAGTCGCCTTCGTGCCGTAGACGAAACGAGTGAGCCGACTGCAACCGCGCAAGAACCATGCAAGATAATGCTCGGCAGCTGCTTCTTCAAGGAAGGCTGGTGTGTGGTCCTGCTGTAATAACAGAGACAAATCCTTGCCCTTCAGAGACTTTGAAGATAGAAGTTCAGATGAGAGTCGGGTAGTAAAAGCATCAACTAGGCCGGCAGGCTCAGAGATGTGTGCGCCATCAGGGCTCATCGAAATCCAAGCCTGGCAGCAGCACTTGAATGCCTCATATGTCTCCCTAGACTCAACGGGTGACTCGGACAAGATCTTGGTAAGCTGCTTCTGCACCGCAGTCCAAATCTCAGTCGTTGACTCAGGAGTAACCCACGAGATAGTCTTTGACACAACTCCCCACTTCAAGGCTGTCAGAGTAGATGATGACTTCTTTACCTGGCTCACCAAGTCAAAAAGCCTGCTACCAATGGCATCCACATAAGTCTCGCTTCTAATGCCCTGGGCAATAGAGTCCAGGAAGAGGCAAAGCGCCCTCGAGTGTAGCTTTTCATTCTCTAGCCATTGCAAAACATCAAGCAACTGTAGTGGTGACATCTCCTTTTCGATCAAGGTCTCAAATGAGTCGTGACCTTGCTGCACTTGGCCAACCTGAAGCCAAGGTGAGGCAATCTCACTCTTCTGCTTCTCGACCTTGCATAACTGCTGGAACCATAACTTCAAGAAATCGCCAAACACTCGTCCGGTCCGGAATACTTCAGCAATAGCCTTAATAATCTTTGAGACCGATTCAACGTCATCTTGGCTGAGTTCTTTGGAAGTGCTCCGTTCGCAGACAGTTTCCAATAATCGTGCGCCCTCCTCAGATCGCTGGAGGAATATATCGGGGTCACAAGTAGCAATGACCGCAATTAACCGCCAGTTTGTGCTCTGTTCCTGAATGGCATATTCTCGACAAACAGAGCGCAGGTCATCCGTTTCAATTAACATTGTTTTCTCGGCCGCTCGCTCCAGGACAACCTGCACAAGCGTATCTCGATCCTCGCGGTCCCTTAATGATCCTTCTACGATCTTGAAGATCTGCTTCGTCCAATCGATGCTTCCTTTTCGTAGTCTTCCTTCGCTCAGCGCATCCGTGACACCTGAGGCCAAAAAGTATAGGGCAGGGGCTGCCACGCCAAGATTATTACTGGCTGCGTGAAGTGCTCTTGTGATGGGCCCCAGGTCTTGTCGGTTGATGAAGGCGGCTCGGGCGGGGAGTATCAAATTGCGGTGCATGAGCTTTTCTAGGTCGGCTGTCCATTTCGCTCGCAAGGGTTCGCTTACGACGGTCTTGTTTGATCCTGAGATTCCCTCCAGTTTATCGAGAATAGCCGTAGATGGGGAAAACAGGTGCGCAGCAACCTCCAACGTGTCATCGTTCCCTTGCAGGTGCAAATGCCAGATGGTAATTATCGTCTCGATCCATGATTCCCGGCCCTCCTGCTCTTCACCACTGGCAAGCGCAATGTCGCACAACTTCAACGACAGGGAAGCCAAAGCTGCAGCATCGGCTGCCGAAGTACAGAAAAGCGATCGAATATGTTCGGCGCCGATCCTGTCGTGAGATGATTGCGTCGCGGTAAACTCGAGTCGGTCAAGTAGACTCTTCAAAGCACTGAACAGGGCGTCGCCAGCCATCAAACATCCTTCGGTATCTCGTAGAGCATCCAGGCTAAAGCTTTTCGTCGTCGATCTCTTCCTCTTCGAAGGAGTAGATGGGGTTTCTGTAGTTGGTTGGGAGACATCCTTCAATGCCTGTTGCAGGACAGCAATGAATCGTCGGTCGGCGAGTGATTTGGCGAGCGAAAAGAGAGGAATGCGCTGAAAGACACATTCGAGAATTGTCCAGGTCAGAGGCCATCGTCGCAAAGTTTCGGCGTCCTTTGATGCGCCATTCATGGACTTTAGCAGCCACCGCAAACTGCTTTCCTCCGCAGCATGGAATTGAGCATCTGCAGATAATGTCAAGTTCTTCCACAGCTTCTCAAGATTCTTGCCATCTTCTCCAGGGCCACTCTGGTCAAGACCTCTTACGGTCTTGATCAGGTCTACCTTTTCCTGTAGCACATGTAAGCATATTCACAACTGCGCGAGAGAAATTGAATGAAAACTTACAAGAGTGGAAGTGTTCCCTTGTGAAGGCACATCCGTCATATCCACATCCATCGCGGGCATTTAAACGAAAGGATGATTAAAAAATTGCTTGAGAAAAGAAAGCTACAACGAACTTCAATCTTTGAATGCGCCCCGCGACTTTTCCAGCGTCCAGCCAAAATTTCCTAAATTCTGCCGCCACGCTAAGCTTCTACCGGCTCCCCGCTCTCACCGCCCACAAGCCGCTCTTGCGTCCCGACTTGTTCCATCTATTCAAGCTTGACATCACGCCCATATACAGCTCCTCGTAGCTCCAGACTTTGCTTGTTACGACCGACTGCACGACTCAAGTATGCCAATTCAATTCTTTACATCAACACATAGCCATTGGAACTAATACGATTTTGTCACAGGCCAAAATGTCCGATTCTACCGTTGCCCGTCCTCCTCCCAGCGCCATTTCCAGGCCGCTTAGCGAGTCTCTTCTCAATGAGAAGGTAATCACAAATCCGAATGATGCAACAGGTTATTCTTGAAATTTCGGTACTAAATATTTCTAGTGGGACCGCTGCCTCTCCAACCTCCTCGTCAAGTCATCCCTCGGTCTCGGTTTTGGTGTCGTTTTCTCTGTCCTCCTGTTCAAGCGAAGAGCATGGCCCGCCTTTGTCGGCGTTGGCTTCGGTGCCGGCCGTGCCTACGAGGAGTGCAACTTCAGCCTGAAGCAGGCTGCGCGAGACTTGAAGAAGCAGACCGCATAAGGGAACTGCGGATTGGGCGTCGACTAAAAGACGAGTCGTTTATTTGTACCAGGAACAAGCACACCAGAACATGGCGGCGTGTTAAAAAAAGGGCACGGAGATCTTTGCCATGGACTCCAGGGAGAGCCAATGTCAGAGTAGGACGTTTTTTCCAGATTCAATAGAGGTATCATGTACAACAACCTGCCATTTCTAATCTTTACCACCAGTCTTCATTCCAATTGTGCCAGTCAATTCAATCACAGCGGGGGTCGTCCCACTGTTGAACTCCGTCATATCTCATTGTATTTCCCGCTGATTGAACCAGCCTTCTCTGTGTCCCAGTGGCATCCTCTTCCCTACCTGTTGCGGACACTGGAGATTCCAAGTAGTCGTAACAGCTCTCATAATCTGTAACTAATTCCGAGCTATTCGAGGGGAAACTACTCAGTAATTGGTCGATGCTCAACCTTTGCGTTCCACTTGTGTCTGTGTTTTCCATCCGGCTTCTGGAGGGGATTGTCAACAAAGACAGGTTGCGTCTGAGATTGACCAACTCTAGTCGGAGCTCCTCGGCCAAAGAATGGCTTCGTCTTCGTACATTCTTGATGAATGAAGCTTCGTTGTCACAATACGCTCCGTCGCCCTGATCTGTCGGGTAAGATGCAGTCCAGGGGGTCTGTCGCTGCCCATTCTCGGTATCCTGAGCTCCTCGTGGAGTCCTAAAGCTGGCGCCTAATAGGATGAAGATCGCGAGTAGTAAGACGAGCACAAACACCACGAATGTGATCAGTACTATTTCCATCCTGGCCGACTCTGAAGATCGGATATCGCCGGCTATGTTCATTTGGGCAACAGCTCCGGAGTTGCGCAGGAGTGGCTACACGACAGGCGATCCAGCTGGAGGCCGTACGATTTACTCGACCCTGGCTGCTGTTGAGAGATGCGTCCTATAAATGGGAGAAGCGACTCCTATTTCATTCGCGAAGTGATGCGAAGGAATATCGATGTAGAAGATGAATGGCGGGCGAAGAGTAAAGGTAAAGTAGATAGGTATTCGGCTAGGTCGATAAGGGCATGAGTAAATAAGTATCTTTGAGGTTGTTTGTCCATGAAACGAGTGTTTAGAGAGCATTGACCTGAGGAATTTGATAAGTCAATCCTCCAGGAACTCCAAATAAGGTAGTCGTAGAGTCGGCAAGTAGCAGATGTGGTTGCACTCACATTCTAAGCGATAGCTCTTTACGTGAGTCACGACATGGCGTGCGAGATAACACAAAACAAAATGCGGTTGCACCTTCCGAGTTATTGCTACATCAACAAAACAAACGAGCTCCCTCATAGTGGAAGTCTGTGTTGTAGATTTCTGCTAGCTCATCAAGTTTCTCACTCTTCAGGAACATGTCTATAGTGACAACTTCCATGGCATCTTCTCTCAATCTACTTTAGGGTAGCATTTCAATTCACCTAAAATTCACTTTATAATGTCCTCATGAGCTCATATCATCCAATCGTCCGATTCACCTTCATGCCGGTGAGTGTTACTACCCTCGTACGATCAACCAACATACGGGGCATCACTTCATACCTCAACTTTATTACGGCACTGTCATCTTTATTCTACTCACATCGGCAAACTTGAATTGTTTTCCCTTCTCGCTTTTATGTTTACACAATCGGGGTATCCATGGTACTGATGGCTTTGTGTTAGCCCTACAACGGCACACCGCGTGGGAGTGCACAGGAAACATGGTTTGATAGTAACGGTACCGTGTGATTTTCTAATTTCTAAAGCATATAATTTAAAATAAAGAGCGAATGAGGCTACCGCCCTTTTTCCAGATTGCTACCGCCAGCGTACGCCCTCCCGTTCTCCTTATTGCTCTCTCTTGCGCACACTCTTCCTCCGTGTCTTGCCACAACGTCTCAGCACTGTACACCAATGCTTCTCGACGTACGGCAAAGCATTCGGAAATTAGTGTCCCGGCACTGTGGGCTTGTGTTAGTTAAAATCCTTGAGGAGACACGAGTCCTGCACCGAGAACAATATTGCTACAGCGATACCAGGACACGACGGAAGATATCCAACGACATAACCATCACTGGCCAACAACGAACTGCGGCAACATGCCCAAGATACAAGACTAAAGCATTGTTGACTCACCGGGATCTGTAGGCCAGGTTGGAGGCTTTGGCTTGGGCTTTTCCTGGGAAAGGTTGATACCAGCAGCAGGATTGTTGGTGGCAGCCATTGTCACTTGTTGTTTGTTTGTCGACTTCAATTTATTTGAGCTTTGATCGCGGACGGAGTCTTGTTCAAAGATACAAAGGTAAGAAGTTGAGTTGATTTGAATTAAGTTGAATGTTTGTGCTTTTGAGTTGTCTCGATGCTCTGGCCGATGAATGGCTCACTTTGCAGGAAGAGACCCGGCTCTTATACCTAACTATTGTTATACAAAGTCCTCATTGCCAGATCCTCACTTCCCAAGCTTTGCGAGAACAATGCTACTTCGAAACGTCCTTTTAGAACACTGCGTGACGCCACAAGCTGTGTGAACACCGGGATCAAGACTTCCGCTGCTCAGTCGTCGTCAGCGCCTCAGCTTAACCCAGCATCTCGAACGCAGACTGCCGTATACCTAGAATTCTAGGAGATAAATTCAGTGAGCCCGTGCTGTGCGTTGATGATCCAGTTGCCTGATATGGCAGCCTCTATGTTGGACAACCCCCCAGCTAAGCAATTCAACATCTGAATATGGCTCTTGTGTGTTATACTGACGTACGGTGTAGGACAGTTGAACTTGTCATTGTTGCAGTGGAACGGTTCATATCTAGTTATAGACTCGGGTGTCTCTCTGGATCAATTGAGTCTCGTGTTCGAAGGTCACCATTAAGTCTGGCACTGAGGCGGCCCTGAATTGAACGACTCAATCTCATCAAGAATTTGAACAATATGCTAACACTGGTGTCATTGTTGATCATTTGTCCAACCATAAATCAACCCTCTCTCGCTGCTTCAATAAAGCCGGTGGTTGCTCAAACATGCAGGGTGGTGACAAATGCGTACATGTTCCGAGTCAAGGAACTATTATTGATCGTCGAGTTCATGAGAGACGGTGCGCATAGCTGCGAGCGGAGTACAAAAGGTAACGCAAAGATTTTACGTGAAAATCACAAGCAAAATACTCTATGCCTCCATGGAATCTACTGGTCCCAGTGCACCGGGCCAGCATGAGGAGACTTTGGAAGCCTATACACAACTGACGGCTACGTACAGCCGTTGAGCTCCCGTCCGGTTTACAATTCCATGAATAATGTTTACACTGAGCCAGCCGGCAGGTTGCCTCGAGCTATGTTATTCTTGGCTTGACGCTTCTTAGCAGAAAACCAGATGTATCTGAGCACAGCACCAAGCGGCCAGTGCTAAAAACAGCGAGGTACTGGAAACACAGGAAGCTACTAGCGTAAGGAATAGCTCTAGTTAACCAGCCCCTGACTATGCAGGATCTGGACACACCTTAGTTACCGTACACTGCGGTTCCTAGTGAGCTTAGAGTGACATGTAACTAGTGTAAAGGCATAGAGATGGATGGATGTACACCTATTTAGATTGTGCATTGGCATATCGGAACTTCTGCCGGGTCGGGGAGACAATCAAATTATGTCTCTCGACGCAGTAGTACAACAGAAGATGACCCTATCAGTCTTGCACTGAATATGACCGACTCCGAGTGAAATACATCGAGGCCGGTTGATTTTATCGTGCGAAAAAGTGTATGAAGAAAAGAAAAGAGAAAAAGGCGAAGCTACCCACAGTTGGTTCTGTTAGAGTCGCGCAGTTGTGTCACGTGACGAGTGGATCATGTGTTCCCTACCACCAACCTCTTTAAAAACTCTACCTCTGGTCTTTTTCTGATCTTTTCCCAAATACAAACACCAAACAAATCACACAGCAACGCCTCTTTCCCTTTCCCTGTCGGCTTTTACCTCTCACGAAAAGAGAAGGCAACTTTTGCCATTCACGAGGGTGTCATCCTCGGCTTGTTTTTGTTCTCTTTGTTCGCTTCCAACGGCAACGCCGATGCAGCTTTGCTCTGTCGTGCTCTCTGCTTCACTCAGAATTCGGACTTTGACAAACATGCAGTCCTCCCCATCCCTGGAAAGCTGTTGAACGCCATGATGACGAGACGCCTTCTGTGTCAGTAATCAAATAATGTCTTGCTGCGTTTGACAGTTTTCAGAGGCCGGGATGAGGTCGCACGCCTTGTCTCAGTTGAAGCAAGTCGTTATTTTTGCTACTCTTGACATGTTACTTGACAACTTACCTACTACAGCTACTCTATGTCTGTTCTCTACAAAGTCCGCTACAAGCGGCACCCACGAAATGCCTACACTCTGCGCTCTCAATGCACATGTGTGTCAACTATTTTTTTTATCGTTCTAGTGGGAGATTAAAACCACGGTCTAGACAACCGACCCGCTCCACCCTGATACCATAGAGCAGTGTGGCTTCAGGACTAAAATCGGGCAAACATATCTAAACAAACAACATTAAACGTGAATGAACCAGTGAATGAATCTCATGTATTTGCACTGAGATGTGCTCAGACGAATGACAAGCTATAACTCAAAATATTGTGCCTTTCATGGCCTGTTTTTGTGTGGTGAAAGCCAGTCCGAACCCCATGCATGGTGGTTACTATCGTCGTCGTTGCACAAATGTCTTGCCCGCTTGAGCAGTATTGCCGGCTCAAATCATGTCATGTTGACGATACGATAATAAGCCTTCAATATGCGAGCATGTTAAGGTCCATATGAGACCGCCTTGTTCCTCAGACGTGGCATACATCGTTTCATTCAGCCTCATGTACTGCTGCCTGCGTACTCCATTCCCTATCATATATCATGCAAAAAAGAGGCCCAAAAACCCACTCTGTGAAAGGGTAGACCTCTCATTCACCGACCGTTTTACCAAGACATACCTCGCATACGCCATGTCATCCAGGAAAGCCGTTAAACAGACATACATTTCTATCCTTTCTCAACAGATGTCTCGGACAAATAGTTCTCAAACTGCGTCTCCGAATATGGCTCTGTCATCCTGGAACGACACGAGAAACCTCGCCACGAGGCGTCCAGTGTACAGTGTCTGGGGGTCCATCGGGAAAGGATGGCTCGCGTTGTTGTTGAGCCAGTCGTTTGCTGCTAGGAATTGCAACTCCTGCCCTAATTAGTGTAAGACAGAACATGTCAGCGTTTGTGATCTTTCCAGAACAATACGGATACAATGTCAGCCCGTTTGTGAGCAGTCAGGTCGTACGTACAACTTTCACCAAACAATAATTCTCTCAGTTGGGCCGAGAACTTGATGGCCGGTCCATCCAGCTCGCCCTTTTCGGCAAAGCCACTGTCGAGCAAGGGGTTGAAGCCTTTCGTGTTGGCCTCCTTGCTATGTGTCTGATAAATCTGGTGGAACTGGTAGGCGAACTGCCTAAAGGGCATGTTCTCAACCTCGGCACAGGTGTTCAGCGCGAGGCTTCTCTCGTACTCGGGTCTTGCGCTCTTCCTCATGTTGATCTCGTTCTGTGAGATGACAAAAATGTCAGCTGCCGTCTCGACCGCCTCCATGAAGAGGCAGAGGACGAGGAAGGCGGCGGTGCAAGGCGCCCACTCGCGCCGAGACTTGGGCTTGAGTGACTTTGTGAAGAGATCGAACAGCTGTGACATTTCCCGCTGCATAAGCTCGTCTACAATTGACTTGATCTGTCGTGCGAGGACTCGGGGCGTCACATAGTCGTCACCCTGGTCGATCAGGCCGGTTGATCGAAGGACATCAGCGGTCTGTCGGGTAAGGCAGAGTTGCCTCGTCATAATGTAGTGCATGCAGTAGATGGACAGGGCACGCTTGACCATGAGTGACTGTAGCAATGACTGTCAGCTCGGCTAATGATACGACTTGTCAGGTTTCACCTACCTCGGTCTCGTCTGCATACTGCTTGACAATCTGCAGCACCTTCTGGGGCAAACATGTGCTTTGGAAGTTGTCCGTGACTTGGTCGACAAAGTACGGCTCGGTAAGAAGCTCCTGGATGTACCTCTTTGTCCGTTTCTTTAGAGTGTCCTTCTCGGCAGTGTTGGCGAGCTCAACGCCGATGTTGGCTGCTCTGTTGCTCTTCAACTCAACCCTGTTCCCTCCCACATTCTGGAGCTGCCAGTGACTTCTGACCTCGTCCGTCTTTGGTGTGAAGAGCTTGGCCTGTATTGCCAGAACCGTATTGAACAGTGGGCCTGAGAAGAGTTCAATAGAGCACACTTGCTCAACCCCCTGAACATGGAAGCCAGCAATGTTCTCCGAGAAAAACTTGGTCATCTGATCTTTAGCCAGATGTCCGCGGATATAGTCGGGGAACAGAATGCCCAGGAAGTCGTTGAATCGCCAACATACGACCTGGGGAACCTGGACTGTGATCTTCCTGCAGTTCTTGCAGGGACGTTCAAGATCGCACTTGACCTTGCGACTGTGACAACAGAAGCAGGCACCATGTCTACGAACCTGCAATGCATTCTCCTTAGTAGCATTCGCCAACGGTCCCTTACGTCCTCGCTGACTTGTTCGATTCATAGCCTCGAAGCACTCGAAAGGATTAGGGCGGCCGGCGTGAGCTGAGATTGAATTAGGAGTCACAATGACAAACTTGCCAGATTGTTCTTTTGTCGCCTTCTTCTTCTTCTCGACCTTTCCAACATTGACCTTTCGAATCGGTATCGATGTTGGAGACTTGCTCCCATTAGGGCTCGCTTTTGAACTAGGGAACGACGTCTGTGAGTAGTTGCTTGCAGGTGACGGAGAGTTATTAAAGTCATCCATGGTGAAGACACTCTCGCTGCCTCGCATATTGGTCTGGTTCCATGGCGGGACATTAGGATCTGACTGCATTGGTGGCTGCATGTTAAAATTCATCTGCGGCATTTGAACCTGGCTGTTGACGTCCATCGAGAACATGCTAGTTCCAAAGTTTTGCATGAGCGTCATGTCTGTAGCAGTATCAGCACCCTGCACTGAAGTAGAGGCCATCCCCCGCTTCTCCGGCATACCATTCAAGTCCTGTGGTTGCAATTGAGTTGTATCTTGCTGCGAGAAAAGGTATTGCTGAGGTGTTAAGAACCCCTGTGTTTGTCCGAACCCCCCGTCTGTTGTGGTTGTAAACATGTCTGAGTTGGCGTTGTCTGATGGAGCTTGAAAGGAGGCATTGTTTGCAAAAAAGGCTGTTTGATCCAAATCGCCTAGTATCAAAGGAGAGGAAGCTGAGGGAGAAGGTGTGTTCCTTGGCATGAATGGTGAAGAGTTGTTCCCGGGTGCGTATGGCGGAGAAGTAGCGTAGGAATTTTGAGTGTTGGAGGGCATAAAGGGCGATGGTGTTCCATTGACATTTCCAACCATGGTGAAGCTTCCCAAGCTTCCACTAGCAGGGTCTGATAGAAAGCCAATGGATGATGGACCGGAGTTGGCTCCTGTGTAGTCGATATACTGCCATGACTCCTCGTCAGGAATAGAATCGAAGTCGTAGGGGGACGATGAGCTTGGCGAAAGCCGAGAATGTATAGATGCCATCCCTGTCTGATATATTGAAAAATACAGGTATGTGTCGGTAGCCTTATATGTCGATGCCAAGATGTATCAATAGATCAGCTGGAAGATATGTAAAGATGGGAATATAGACTTTGTCCAGGCAATAAATTCGAGCGCTTATATAGTAGATTTTTGTTCGTGATTATGAGTTTGGCAATTAAATCATTCCTAGTTTGTGAGTTTGAACATGTTGTGTTATTGTCTTTGTCGTTAATAAGACAATATTCGCAAGTCTGTTCTGCGTGTCTAGGGTGGTGTAGTTGCAAGGCTCCAGGCTACAGCATCACTTTGACCGCAGGAAAAGCGATGAAATATAAGTAATTCAATGAAAGTGCACTTCTCTCAGACCCGTATTGAAAAGAATAAAAGAGTAAGAAAAGCTGTTGCTTGCTTCATCCTCCTTCGGTCAACATTCATGGACGTCTCAACGCTAACCCAAACGGCGACCGAAAATCAGATACCTTGTCATATATGGTATATTACAGCTGATTGTAAGTACCTCGAAAGTGCAGGTAAACCAATCACAGGCACATATTGAGCACATGCTCACTGACGCTATTCCCCTCTGAGTACTATCTCGAGTGACACGATTACCTATATAATTTCTATTCAACTGCCATGCATCGTTTTCTCATAAAAGTGCATTCTTACAGCCTGATATCTTGACGAAGATTATCAGGTGGTCGGCTAAGCAGTCTATCGTAGATGCTCGAGCTGTCATTGGCATCGTACAGCATAAACGGTAGCATTGTCGATCTGTGTCAGTAAGTATCCGATTGGCGCACGATTTCGTGCATTCACAGCATGAGGAGGGCCTCAAGCTTAGGAGCTTCAGTGTCCTGTACTGAATTGCCTTGCAGCCCAACACGCTCATCATACTCCATACAGTCGATTCTACAATTCACATGAATCGCGGCAGTAAATATTGAATGCCGATGCTGCAGTATTGAACCACGGTGGACCTGCCCTACGGGTTAAAATATGATGATACTATTTGGACTGCTTGATTAATTGGAATTAGTTATTGAGTAAGACTCTTGCATAGTAATATGCTAGACTAGCTAAGTCCACTGGTCATCATTCGCTCGAACCCTATTGGTGGCACTTCTCAACCCATTTTTATCATCATCGCGAGAACTGTAGATGGATCGACAAACGTACTCAAACACAGTCTCAGGACCATGCTGAATTCCCAACTCTCACCGGAGCACACACCCAATATGGGCCCAGTGACCAATAAACATCATAGCGTTGAGGTGCCTGCTCCCGAAAGATCATCATTAGAGCTTCCATCCCGAAACTGTAATCCTTGCCAAGTCGATAGATGCCCAACACACACAATCACTATTGTACCCAATGCCACCAGCAGACAAGGCGACTGAAACGACCAGCAGTATGCAACTGGCACTTTGATTCAACGTGATAACTAAAACATACTGCAAATGTGTCGTTACCAATCCTGTAATGGGGGAGTACTGTTCAGATCCAGCGATAATATCTTGATAACAAACATGTGCTAAACACAAAAGCACGAAACATGACTCGTTAATATTCAAACGTAAAACCAAAACAAATGTTACCGCACAATAACTCCAACACGCTTGGACGGTAGCCTCCTAACCAGAAATGATGGTTGCTGAGAAGGGCCGGCGTACGCCTGGCACGCCAATCCTCTAGACCCAGGAGAACCTCTGCCCATATATGATAAACATTATCGCTCACAATGTCAAATTGTGCTGGTGGCCCCCATCCTTTGCTCGGGCCACGTCCCTGTTTCTGATCTGTGCCGTTGTCGTCGCCGGCAGGTCATGTCCCCTGTTCTAGGAGAGCATATAAACGTATATCATTAGAGTCGTTTGAGACTCGTCGTCAAGCTAGAATCCTAAGCTCGGTACCGGTTGGCAGCGCGATCCTGGATCTGCTTGTCTGTAGAAACGTATAGTCGGTCTAGGTAGTCCATAGCCGAGGCATCCTTTAGGATCTTGGCTACTTGAATGCCGGCCGAGATCAGCTGAAGGATGTTGCGGTCGTCCTTGAGCGGGCGACTTTGGTGCTTGGCAGCGTGTCGCATCTCGAGAGAATTTTCAAGGATCGTAACAAATTGCTTGATCTGTCCGTTGTAGAGAACTCGCGCTGGGATGCGTCGCTTCGTCGCTAGTCGCTTGAGAAGATAAACCCACTCAGTCCATTCTCGGTCTTGTGGTCGCTCGACGGGCCTCATGTCCTGGGTCAAGGGGATCGGAAACTGGTACTTGGCCACGAAATCATAGGCGCATTGTGAAAGTCGGTCATTGACCTGGCTCAAAACATTGTCCTGTTCCTGAACATGAAGGTTGGTTGGCAGATGCGGGAGCTCTCGTTCCTGCATAGCAATGACATCCGGAGGTGGTCGCTGTAGGAACTGATGAGGACCGTCGAATTCGTCACGGTTCGAAGGTCGTCTTTGTGATCGACCTTTGCCAGTAGACTTTGACTTTCCTCCGGGGGCAGAGCTGGTCATCCCATTTTCCAGGGAGTAGTCCGAAAGGTTGGGTGATGCGATGATGTCGTCCACAGAATCGGTAGGCGAGTATCGCTCACGGTTCTCCCACGACTGAGAAGTTGGTGCCTTGTATGAGGCATGTCCAACTGGCTTGCCATACGATCCTGAAGGTGGACGGGCACCAAACGAGGGAGCGGCAGGGTAGGTCGACTCAGCGCGTGACATATGACCATTGGTACCAATAGGTAGACCGCCAGCTAAGTTGTAGTTGCTGGCCGAGTAGTTGACACTTGAATTGGCCGATGTTACTAAGGATTCCGAGCTGGTATTGTTTCGATAATCACCATACCTTTGTGATGAGTAAAAGCCATTATCGAAACCTCCATGTACCGAAGGATCAGTGAACGAACTGCCGGTGAGTTAGCCCAACTACGTTCTCACCCAGCCGGAAGGACAGTCAGCAGACGAGGAGTTCAGACTTACTTGCGAGTTGGGTTCCAAGGACTGTTCGACATTGTAGTCTTGTAGGCATGATCTTGCTGTGCCATACTGTACTGGCTCATCATTGTGAAAACGGAATCGCGGGGTGTTAATTTTGGGCAGACTTGACGAGACTTGCGGCTGATAAAGAAAGAATCCACAGGCGAAAAGAAGCAGCAAAGGGTCCACGCCTTGGGTTCCAGTTAAAAAAAAAAGAGACTAAACCGACGGACAGCTTGTACAATATGGGTCCTTGGGCAGTGATCCTGGGTTTTTCCAAAGGGCTGGCTGGCTCCAAATGTCTTCTTCAGGGCATCCACGGTGACTAGGGTTTCCTGAGATGGCGATGAAATTGCCTGGGTCCTCTTGCTGGCGGTTGTAGGCGGTGTGACCTGTGGTCTGTGGTCCAGGCAGATGGATCTATCTGCAAAGGCCAACTCAACTCCTGCTGGATTGGATAAAAAACTGCGCAGGCAATAGTGAAGCACTAAAATAGTAGTGCAGTATCCTTGGGGCACTTCTCAGCGAACCAGGTCAAGGTAAAGCTGTTGATGAGCGGATCTGAACTGACACAGACAGATAGTAAGACTATGGAGGAGATCCGGGAGATTGAAGCTCGGAATACCGACGATTTATGTTCGTCCGTGAGGCTGCAAGGAAAAAGGGACGGGTACGCATGTCATGAGCGAAACCCTGGCATAGCCTGGCTTGGTTGTTGATGATGGCGATGGGGGATGGTAAAACGCTGCCCCATTTACTAGCACTAGCGGAGTTGACAGGGACCAGGCGGGAAGCAAGTGATGGCCTAAACGACTTTTCTGGCAAGATTTGCAAAAGAAATTCGCCCCAGAATCCCTAAATTAATGTTAGGAGGGTGTCACTTCCCCAAGGTTGTAATGGATAGCGGTGTCTATACTGTACTCTGTGCTGTACATACAGTACTGCGCTGTCCTTTGGTCGGCAATGCAGTCGAGGTAACTAATTACTGCCTGTATTGAGTTGATGGCGCAAGCCAGCCCAACAAGCGAGCGAATCCACGAATTGGACCCTGTCTCTGATCTGATCTTAAACCAGGGTGGGTAAGCTTAATGATCGAAGACGTTTGAAATATTACCTTTTGTGTATCGTTTCGTCTCGGTTTAGTACAGCGTAGCAGGAGGAAAATGTCAAGAAAATGTTGAGACCTTGGCTATTGCTGCGTGTTTGCTTGCCCGCCGTGTCGCCGAGAGTGGAGCGGTATCATCAGAACACAATGCCGAGGCCATGCTACCCCAGATGTTCTGCGTACCTACGGCGTATGGAGGGACCTGAGGAGGCTTCGATAAAATTGTGGAAAGTTAGAAGGTCACTCTGCATCGCGGGGCAGCACCGCTCTTCCGGGCTTCCAATACCTCTCCCTCGGGCCAGGACAACAAAGCGAGGCAATTCATTGATCCAGCCAGTGATTGACTGATTGATCTGATCTCCTGGGCATCATTAGGCGTAAGCATTGTTGCCCAAGACGCGTTGGCAGCATCCAAATCGAGCTGACCTACCCCAAGAGATGGGATGCTAAGTTTGAGCAGGGGACTGCCCGGAACGTTGAGAAGCGGTCAATGGCGGGACTGCAGAAAAGGTCAGGCACCAAGGCTGTATGTAAGTGCACCCGACAGGGCACCGTTGATGCCCACTGACCACCTCCATCACGGGATGTCAGGCCAGGTCGGGTCAGGTCAGGTCAGCGTGCCTGGCGGTTGGGTTTGACGTCGTTGTTCCTTGGTTCAGCAGTCAGAAACAAAGGCCGCAAACAGCTCATCAACTGCCAGCAGTGTACAGTGCAGTTGACTTGATGGAGGACGTAGTACTAGACAGCACACCACCTCGGCGAGGCGGCACTAGACAAATCCGGGGATTCATCGTGAAGAATAAGGCGGTTGTTGATTGGCCCCGATTATTTTGCTGTACAATCAACGAAGCCTGACAATAGTCTGGTGAACCACAATGACCATGATATTCCAGCATCAGATGAGATAAGACAAGCTGTACCATGGCTACACGACTGCACTCCCCGAGATAGATACTGTATACAGCAAGTCATTTCTTTCTGTCTGTGTTTTGCTGTGCAGTAGCGGGTTGAATGTAGGTACTATGCACCACCCGCACTTGAATCCTCTGTACAGATTTGATGATATCGACAGCAAAATGATCCGACGGTTGACGCGCGCGATGGAAACAGCCGCTGGCAATGCGATGTGGCTGGCTTCTCCACTTTGGCCCTGGCTTGACTTGACTTGACCCTTGAAGCTCGTGGCATCTTTCGGCACCTGAGAACGGAATGGAGAAGTTGAGTTAATGAGAAGGGTCTTTGCTTTGAAGCCGTCGTCCTGCATCAGTGCCCTGTCATGCCGAATCCATATTAACTGTACGCCTTGAACCGGCCGAGTCAGCTTTGTTAGTTATGAGGCGGGCTTTTTTTTTATTGATGTGGATCTTGATAATATCAGATGAATCTTGAATATCGAATTCTAGATCATGCTTGACGGACTCGCCGAGTTTGTTTTCGGTCAATTCGAAGCCGAGATGATGAAAGATGACGATGTTGTTTCTACCCGATATCAGAAGTTGACCGCTTTCCTGTCGACATAAAAAGCGGAAGGTGCGAGGCGGTATCCGTATCTGCTCACCTCGATTCGAGTTCCCCATATCAAAACACTTAACCGAAGCAAGGCTGTCCACTTGAAAGATGCCAGATCATTAATTTACTCGACATGGGCAAATGCATGTGACCGTTTATTGTTCCGTCCCTTGCTTGATTTTGTTTGACGTGGAAGAAATGGATCAATGGATGCTGATGAGGTGGCACAGTAAACAAGGTTGAGCAATCAATGCCGACATTTCTAAGCCACTTTAATCTGTGGCCTTTTCTTTTGGAGATATCTCGCTGTTGATTTTCGTTTCCTTCTTTTTTCCCTCTCAGCTCGATCGATTGTTCTCGTCTTGTGTTGCACAAACTTGTCCGCCTACATTTGTTAACCCGATCGATCACAGACATCGCCAATCCTACCTATTACACATACATACTTCCATTGGCCTGGGACTTCAGCTTGGTCAAATGATTCCATATGATCATCTCAACTCTCCCTAGCCAACCGGATTGCTCAGACGGGTTCTTTCAAGTCTTTTCAGAAACTGAACCTTGTGCGGCCCTGCGCTTCGTTATAATCTTTTCTTGGATACGACATAGCAAAATGCTCCTGGATCCAATTGACGATGTTTCATGCCTCTTCGGCTCTCAGCATACCCTGAACTGGACGGACCGCTTCGAGTGCTCCTAGACTTCAACACGAGATCCAGTCAGCATCTCTTGCCGGGAAACGCTCAGGTAATTTTACGACACGAGACCATATTCCTTGGACTGCGTCATTCTTTCTTATCTTTCAACCCCTGAGTCTAAGTTAGGGCTGAGAGAGGTCGTATATCGCACCGTTGCCGCTTGCTAGCACGTGGTGGCTGGTTCAAGCCTTCAGGAACACGAGCTATCGCTTCGGTACCAGGCGTTCGTCTGCAGATTAGCCCCTGTTGACATGTCGAACAAAGGCCTAAAATAGATATGAACCCCCACATTATGAGCACTGACAACAGCAAAACATAACCTACAGCTTCAGCTCCGAGAAGCGGGACCCGCACCGACCGGCTTTCACCAAGACTGGCCTGGCCGCTCCGTCCCGGGATTGGAGAAATCGGAGGCCTTCGGGATTTGGCCGTGAGAACCTCATTCTTTTTCTGTCGACCTTCTTCTTGGGGCACGCGACATGGACCAAAAGGAGTCAGAGCTTAATGCTGGCTTGTATAGATCATCCCCTTCATTTCAGCGGATGCCGAATCGGATCCCGTATTGTGTTGCATGCTGGCCAAGACAAGTCTTATCCTGTTTCGTTTTGCTTCTCTCTCACCCCAGCGAACTCCTATACCGATGAGCAGGCGATCGTGCTGTCCGATCGTGCCCCTGTCGCAGAGGAGGTTTGCCGACTTACAGTCAATGTTTCTTGATGTGCATATGTGACGTACGGGTTCCCAAACCACCGCTTCTAGGTCCACAGGTAGTGCAATACATTTACCCATTCAACCACAGGCGGCCGCTTTTCTCTCAGTATGGCCTCACTGATCTCATTACCCCCCGGACAGAATAAAGCCTCACGGGTTTTTCTGAACATGCCCCCGCCACCAAAGACTTAGCGAGTCATGGGGCTAAGAGCATCAGTGCTACTTGATTGGACGCAGACCCTGCAGCTTTCGTCTAGAAAAACGAGCTTTGCTCCCTAGAAATCTATTTGGGGATATCCCGCCAACTGGCGTGGATTGCATCGGGCAAAGGCTGGTTCTCAATACGAAGAAGAATTCTTGAATGCCATGGCCTACCAGCCTTTGCCTTGTCCAAATCGTGTCAGCCGTGTCTCTAGACCACGCTTCTCGTGGAATATTTCCCCTCGAACCACCCCGAAAGAATTCGTAGCGGCGCCGGTCTCATTATATGCGGAACCTCCACTAGTAGCATATAGACAAAAGCCATTGCTGAGCCCATAGACTTGTTCGTTGTCGAAAGAGTTATAACCCCCAATTGCGACAAAGGTATGCCCAAGCAACACCATGGCGCCGCCAAAGGATAAAGAACGAAAGAGGAAGTTTCATCGAAGAAGCAAGAACGGATGCACCCGATGCAAAGCCAGGCATGTGAGGTGCGACGAAGAAAAACCACTTTGGTATGTTTGTTTATAAGCTTCAAATCTTACTCGTGCAACAGCCGACCATTTCCCCTCCTTTCTGACTGTTGCTGCACGGCTACGCGCGGCTCGGATGTGGGATAGACGATAGACGAGCTCTGCATACGCGTCTAATGGCGTTCGTTGTAGGACTGACTAACCGACATTGCCAATATAGCACCAACTGCCTTCAAACCGGAAGTGACTGCATCTATCCGACTCCAGAACAATCGCTGCCGTCCAATGAATCTTTTCCCTCGCCGGCTTCATCCAGCAATGCTGCCCTTGCGAGCTTCGGCTCCCAAATGGCACATTTAGAATCTCCATCGCCAGGTTCGAGTAACGCCCTCAACAACTACGTTGGAGGTTCTTTTGACGCTCTCCCAGAGCCTTCGAAGCGCCTTTTGCGCCATTGTATGCCTCGAAATCACAAAAAAAATCTTGCCGCAACTAATCTCTTGGCTAGTTTCACAATACACGGTTTGGGGTCAAAGGCCTGTAGTTCGAGAGCTGGAATCATCGGCGTACGATAACCCGACAACAAGGTCACACCGATCGGAAAATTTTGACACTGACAGTCGTATAGAATTCAAAAGTCGTTCGAGAACCCGGGATACATGCACATGTGCCTCATGCTTTCGGCTTGTCAGTGGGCATGGGTCACGGGCTCAATGGATGAGGTCAGGATCCCATTTCTGTACCATAAAGCAGCAACATATCAATTTGCGAGAGAACAAATCCAAAATCCGGAACTAGCAAAGAGCGGAGACACCATGTTGGCTATCTCTGCACTGGCATTGACAGAGGTATGAACGTCGTGGTGCGATGGTGCAAGAATGGCCAGGTTTGATACTGACGGTTGATGATCCAGGGTGCGATAGGTGAGTTAGATGCTTCTTCGAGACATTTGAAGGGAATCCAGTCCGCAGTAAGGCAATGGAACAGAGCGATTGACCCTGTGCCAACACTACCTCAAAGGATGCTTAAGATGTGAGTTGTGCGAATGGGATGTTGGTTTTCCTGGCCAGACATTTGCTGACGAATAATAACAACAGGGTCGGAGAAGGACTACGAACCGGAAAAGCAGGCCAGCTTGTTAATGTGCCTGAATACCAACCGACCTTTATGGCCTTGTTGTTTGCCTCGATATGGGATATCACAGCGTTACCACCGCGCGAAGCCCCAAGATATGGTTGGTGGGAAGATCTCGAAACACCAGCGGCCAGACTATGGCAAAATCATACCAGGGACCTCAACCTCAACTATGAGATCTCGAGAGGGTTTAGCGCGGGCCAATATGTGCCGCGAATCCTGAATGGTGACCCAAAGAGTAGCCGGACGAGTTTCATCGCTACCTTTTTCTATCTGTGCTCAGAACTAGGCGACAGATACTTTGACGTAACCATGATTGATTGGCTTCTCGAACAGCTCATCGACGATGTAAATGCTGGTGAAGAGCACCTCAGAATGAGTGAATGGACACAGTCACTCTGGTTGTTCTGCGTACTGTTTGGTGCGTCTATGGCCTTCACAGGCCGGGCAAACAACGTAATTGAGCAGAGACAACTGGCC